CGGATACGCGACGTATATATTGATATCTATTGAACGCGATCCGTACGTTATTATGTAAATTTTCCTTTTTCACCGTCATTTGTGCTTAAACAGTGGAGAAGCAGCGTTCGCTAGTTATTTCGATCATTGCTACACACCCTCTTCGAAGACGGCATGTCCGATCGACGATGTCGAGCATGGCGCGTTTCACTTGCGTTCTCACAGACTTGTGTGGATTTGCTTTCGACCGCCGTAGATTATCTCTGAGGACGATCCGACTGCATCCCGTACTCGAGGCTAAAAATGTAGAATTTTTTAACTGTATTTGCGACTATAACCTAACCTGTATATTTTTACATATTGAATATAGGATGGCAAATTTTGTGCGAAGGTCGACGCGCGCGATCGAGAAAGGCGCGGATGTGAGAATCGACATATAGAAAGAAAAGGAAGGAGAAGCACACTCGCGCGAGAATATAACATAGAGACGAATATACATGCATAATACGAACTTAATATAAAACTTGATAAAAATAACGAGCGTAACTCTTATACACACACACACACACACACTCACACACACACACATACTTGAGCGCGACATGACAAGTATTCTTGAGCCTTGAGGGAGAAAGATATTATACAGGTCGTAAGAGATGAAATCAGTTTTATTGTTGATTTCGGCGTGGCATACAATAAAATTTTGTAATTGGCGGTTCCGGGTCCGCACTTTCGCGCCCGGGGCCCAAGAGAACGTTGCGTAGTATAATCAAACACCGATATATAATGTGAGTCTTTCCTCGACCAGACCGGGGCGACTCTCGGGGGCGATCAGGATCGTCGAGAGCGATCAAACGGAATTTTCTCTTCGGAATCGTTGAAATCGAATCTATGCGAAGGAGAGAAAGAGGATGGGGAAGATCGAGGAGTATCGTCTATCGGTGATCCTGAGAACGCACCGTGACACTCGCCGCAACGCGTCGGAGGAAGATATCTGTACATAAAGGAACTGCAACATAGCACAGGGTGTACGTACATGCCGGTGCACACGTAATGTCCTATATAGCGGAAGTACTAACTATGATAATGCATGAAAATAATAAGACGTTCGCAGCAGGCCGGGCGCTTGATAATATATATGGACAAGTTTCGCCCCTTTTCCCCTTCACGATGAATCTCGCCCTCGCAGATGTGGAACGAAAGAGACCGTCGCCCCACGGCATATTAATTCACGATTTACGATCGCTACGCTCGCACTTTATGATGACGAGACGGAACAAAGCGCATGAGACGACGTATGTGTGTGTATGTGTGCGCGCGTGCGTGTGTGTATGTGTGAGAGAGAGATTGGGGGAAAGAATCGAATTCCATTTGGATTCGCCCCCAAAATTAAATTCAAGTTGGATCTTTTTCTTTCTATTCTTTAAGAATTATTCTTGATGATAAAACAATGCAGGGAATGTGCATTAATAGTTTATCTGCCTACTTAAAGTATTTTCATTTTTTTACGTATAAGTTTTTTTATGTACAATCATAGATAATTTTTTGATAATATGTTTTACTGTAAAATGAGAGATTGATAAAAGAATTTTTTTGTTTTTTTTTTTAGCTATGAGAGGAGCATTGTAATAATAATGTTTATTGCGAAACAGTATTAACATTTATAATATGCTAATGTTTTATAAGCAAATGTGCAAAATTTATGAATTGAATTCCGACGAGATGGTTGATTTATTTGTATTAAGATTATTATTATTGTTTTATTATTATTATCACTATTATATTAGTGGTACTGTTATTGCCGCTACATTATTAATATCACCAGCAAATGGCGATTATTTTAATTATTTATGCGTGTTAATTAAAGGACGGCACTTGGATCTCGAACGTAAAAGAATTTAGTGAAAAGCAAAACTTTATAACCAAATATGTGTGTAAGTCGAAGAAAAAGCGACAATTCTCATTTGTAAAACATGAATTCGATCTGATTGCGAGCGTATGCCGAGAGGACGATCGATGCCACGTATTAGATGAGAAGTAATCGATAAAATCGGTAGTAAAACAAGATGCGATAGAGCGTTATTAGCATATCAGCGTGTTGAGCTTAGAGAGAGAGAGAGAGGCGCGCGAAATAATAAGAGACCACGCGTGATAATAATATTACAAGTAGTATATGTATGCGTTTAGAGAGCGAAAATCACGAGAGCGAGAGAGAGAGAGAAGCATTGAATGAACGTATGATGGCTCGCGGATGTTTCGGAGCAACGAGAGATATTGTAATCAAACGTTCCTTCGTCGGTTTCGATGCTGTCGACGCTGCTAAATTATGTCGATAAAATCATTAATCAATATTGCGCACTCTTTGCGCTGTAATAAAAAAAAAGGAACAACATACATCGTTATTAGAGATTACACTAATACGCAAAATTGCAGTATCGAATCAGCAATACGTCGTCTATGCAATTTTGCGCATGAAGTTTTATGAAAGTGCAGAAACGAGCCTAGAAAATAATTAAACGCAAGACTATATACGAATATCACGCGCGACAACATGTAAAGTAAATTAACAGTGAGAAATTTGCATATAGAGGACATATTGCTGTATATATGAACGATTCATACTGCAGTGTCGTTAACATCGAACGAGCCGATATCTACGCGGATGATCGCGCGCACAAATATGCGAAAACAAAGTGTACTTGCGTAATGAGGAGCGAAAGGAACGCTTGGACCCGAAGTCTCCGAAGCTTCACTGAGGCTTTTCATCGGCAGAATTTTTCGTCGCGCGAAAAAAGATAATCGTAATGAGCAAACGTTACGAGGAATGTGCGCTGCGAAGTCACAACTATTTATTATTCACGACGCAGCGAACGTCGAGAAATTCCGCCGACGCGTGTAAAAAATAAATAGTTATTTATAAAAAAAAAAAGTCACTCTAATATCGAGGGCGAGAGAGGAGGGGTGAGGGAGGTGGTGGTGCAAGGGTTGCGACGCAGGGATGGGAATAGCGCGCGAACGGAAGATATGCCATTTTTGAATTATTATTTTCATAAGGAACGTGTAATATAAAAATATATAATATATAATATATCGATATGGACGAATTAACAGCATCATCGAGACTTATGATCGCGACGGTGATGATGGTTAATATTATTATTATTATTGCTATTATTATGGTTATTGATTATGATTATTATGGAATGACGATGATTATTATAACGAGAAGAAGAAGCTAATGCAGTATATATATATATATAAATATATATATATATATATAAATAAAAGTAATTATATATATATACACTTAACACTTACGTTAGGAAGCTAGATACATACATTTGATGCAAGCGAGAAAATGGAGTAACCCACGCGTTCGACGAGAAGTCTAAGTGACATGAATTAACGTCGTACATTTCTATATCAAGATAAATCACGGGGACGTATATAAAGGACTAAACATTTTTTAGCGAACGTCGTGAATACGCGTATTTTGTCAAAAGTTATATGAAATACGAAATGGTCAAGTATCTACAAGAAACGCTTAAACATTTCATCGAGTTATATATATACAAATCATAATTTCTCTCTCGTATTTTAAAAGACATGTAAAGTAATACTTCGTTAGATTTCACCTTTTGTTTCTCTCGTGGACATATTTTTCGTGGCAAAAACTTGAACCAAAGCAAATTATCTCGAAGTTATATCATGTCGAACTTGACCAGTATCGAGACAAAAAAAAGGGACGAAAAAGAGTTTCCCGACGTTCGCGCACATTTTTCGCGCCACGGACGTGTTCCCGTATTCGAACGTAAATTTGATGAGTTGTTCCTCCGTTCGTCTTTGTCTTACGTGAACGCCGAGCCGAAAGTTCTCTGTACGACGTACCTTATCCCACTTGAAGCTCGCATACAGATTACATAACTAGCTATTACGGACATGGCCATTAGCAGAGAAATGTACCATTCAGATAGTTTATCATTAAAGAAACGGTAATCATCATAGGTATATATTAACGACATTATTTATATTATTACGCATATTATATATAAATAATTGATAACAGATACTAATCCCCCCTAGGGTGAAATATTGCGTGGGGGGAAGGGGATGAGTAAGAAGGAAACTACGAAAGGGTGTCGCGTCCACGTGGGCGTTGACGGCGGCGGTGGGTCATTTTTTTCGGAATGACGTCACCGACACGAGAGTGAAAAAAATGATAATGAATAAACCGCCAATTACTTTAACTTCGACAGTACTATTATTTGTATATGCCGAACGATTATGCCGTTTTCAGCGCAACATATTTTGGCAATTCTCTTTGGTGGTATGGTTCATATGGTAGCGATCGCGTTAAGGTGAGAGAGAGACAGAGCGAGAGCGAGAGAGAGAAAGAGAGAGAGAGCGAGAGAGAAAAAGCGAGAAAGAGAGCGAAAGAGAACGGAGAAACCGGAGAGAGAGAGGGAGAGAAAGAGGAATAAAAGAATAAAACAAACGAACAAAATAAAAATCAGAAGTTTCTATACTTTTTACGGAGATTGTTATAGTCTAAGCGCACACTGATCAAGGCATTCGTCGCTCGGCAAAAAAAAGCATAATACAATTATTAATATAAAATTTATAACAGAAATAAAATAAATGAAGTTAATAAATATGTACACTGTATAATAAACATTATTTCCTATTAATAATTCATGCCTCTTTATTCAATCAACTATCATATATTGCAAATACATATCCACAATTTTATTACGCATTGTATAGGTTCCCTGTATGTATTTTCTATATGCTTTCAATTACAAAATTTTATTTTTATTATATTAATAAATGTGGTAAGTATATTTTTTACAAAATTTACTTACATTAATAAATATATATGTATATATATTACTGTATATATAGATATTTTCATTTACTTTTCCAGTAATTCAAGGCGCTTGCTGACGCAAGTGATATTTTTAATATATAATATAATTTTTTAATTTAATATATATATATAATAACTTACAAAATATAAAATAAAAAGATAATCATTTTTGCTAAAAATTGATATTGATATAAATTTTTCCTACGTAAACATAGAATTATGCAGCGATTCCAAGTCTTTCTCCCTCTCCACCGCTCGCTTCTTCTCTTTCCTATACATTTCATACTCTTCATCATCTGTTGGCAATTCATATCGGCAGAGTGGACACGAATTAGTCTGAAAATATAATATAATTTGAAATAATTTGAAATAATATGCAACAAACACTTATATGTATTAAATTAGTTTTCTTTTTTTGTTTTAATTTTTTATCAAATATGAAATTGTTTTTTATATATATTAACTATTCCTATATTACTTATGGTCATACCTTTTCTAACCAGGGTATAATACACTCTTGATGAAATACATGATGACAAGGCATCGATTTCGCTTTATCGTTCGCTTCGAATTCTTTTAAGCAAACCGGGCACTGTTTAATTTCGCTGGATTCAATCTTAATTTCTGGTAAAGTTTCTACAGCATTTTTCGACGCTGGAGGTGGAAGTTTTGCGTCCTCCCCAAGCAATTCCCACATGCCATAATCTCGTAAAAATCGTGCCATTTGAATCAGATGATTCGGTGTTTCTCCGTCACCTAAAGGCGTCCAACCCATTTCCTCGAAATAATCAGACATATCGTCGAAATTACAACAGAAACCTGTTTTGCACGTGAAACAACAACCTTAATCACCGCATTTACTTTCAGTGTAATCAATGATAATTCTTCTTTTATTTTTGATATTTTGCAATCTTCACTTTATTTACGAATATGTTTGTATTACTGTACAACTGTCACGTTGTCTGTAACTATCTGTCAAAAACCTCAAGTCATACTGAGAACAAGTAATCGTTGTTTGGAGCAGAGAACACAAGAATATTAGAAAGCCTTCGTTCCATCAAACATCGGAACGGAGACTACTGAAACTACATTGGACTTTAATCAATATTTAAGCATAAGCATAAATCAAGTTAGTTTTGCATTTTAACTTTATAGATATTAAATCTTATTTAAAATAAATAATTATATGTCTGGAAAAAGAATATATATGTCACTATTGGAAAGAAAAAAGCATATTTTTTTCTTGCTATTTCTATATAGCTTTGTTATGACCATAGTCTGATAAAGTAACTTTTCAGAGAAGAACTATCTTGAGTTTCTTGAGAGAGACACTCTACAAACACTGCTCATATTGAAACTCTTAATATCTGATTCCTAATTTAACATATTACTCGGTAAATAATTCGAAATTGACTATATTTCAAGTTTAATCCATGAGATATAAAATAGCTCAATCATTAATATTAATATTTTGTTTTGCAATTGTATTAATTTATATATATAAAATAATACAATAATAATATAACAAAGTTATATAATGTTGTTAATTTACTGTATATATACAGATATTAATTACAATTTTTAATGAACTATGATTATAATGAGTTACAATATTTACGTGTCAAATAAATATTTCAAAATTTTGCACCATTTCAGTAAGGGCCGGTTGTTTCAACTCTTGATCAGTTTTACCCGACAAGTAGCATATATGTGTCTTTTTTTTTTAGAATTTATCTGAAAAGAGACGAAAATATGCTACCTATCAGGTAAAATTTACCGAGAAGTTGGAAAAATCGGCTCTAACGATAAGTGAAGATGACTCCACAATATTTGTAAAGATAATTATGGAATCTGCTTTATCTCCTTTATATATCCAGCAATCATTGCATCGAGCAACCGTTAGAATCCATCTAGACGTCTGTGAATTAGTATCATTTATTGCGTCGCACGGAGAGAGAACCCTCTTCTTCATAAAATATTTTTATGAGTTATAAGTGCGTGATTTTAACACATATATTGAGTGTAAATAGTACGGTAAGAATAATTTCTCTTAAAAATTATTAAAAATTAAATTATTATATAAATTTCATAATATAATCCAATTATTAACAATTATCTTTTAAAATTATTGTATACGGAATAAAAATGTACAATGTCGATTAATATATCAAATATCGAATATTTTAATTTGCAAAAACTTTAATCAAATTTTACATAAGAATATATTTTAATTATATTAAGTTTAGAAAGAGAAATATTCAAAGAGATATAGAGAAACGTAAAGAGATATAAAGAGATATAAAGAGATAGAAAGATAAATTTTTATATAATGTTTTAGTTATATAATATTTCAGTTATATATCAGTTTATATATTGATATATTAATTTCTATTACGGCATTTATTGCACAGAAAAATCGTTTTTTAGTGATAATGTGTACACAAAAAACCTTTATCTTTATGTGGCTGCTATGCGTCCGGTTAATGATAATGTCAAGTGATATCACGAATAAACGAGATACTTGTCATTTATCAAATACTTTAATCGAAGAAATAGACTCCTACGCGCCGATAGTGCAAAAAATTGTCAATGAAACTATGCAAGGTTCCTTCAAAGGAAATACTTGGCAAGAATTGGCGACATTTGTTGATAAATTTGGCCGAGATTCACTGGTACCCAAACACTTGAGGACGCTATCGATTATGTACTCAACAAATCAATTAGCTTAGGTTTAGAAAATGTACATGGTGAACCGGCTACTGTACCACATTGGGTCAGGTACAAAAAACTTTAAAATACTTTAAATTTAAATTATAAACTATTATTCTTATTATTATTATCATTATTATTAAATAAGAAATATATGTCGGCTCTCAATATTATTAATAATAATAATACATGAATTTTAAAACATTAGTTGGTAAGAGCAGTCGCCCGGAAAATGAAAGACGCGGGTTTGATTCCCGCTTCAGCGACTTTTCGGACCTATATTTTTCTCGCCTATTTTTCTCTATATGTAAGTTCGAAATTAATTTATATATGGAACTTAGTAATCTCAAACCAAGAGATACAGTTTCGAAGAATTAATTTTTCGCGCTTGGCTCTATTGGCCGATTTAAAATTCATGTATTATTATTATTAAAATTTTCTCTAATAATAATAAAATTATATAATTTTGTTTGTACTTCAAGTAATGCGCTTTGACTCTTGTTAGCCGTCTTAGTTCCTTTTTTTACTATTTATTATGTAGATTTATATGTAGAGTTTAATTTTCTTATTTTAGAAATTATTAAATATACGATAACCATTATCTAAAAAATAATACAAAAAGAAGAATAACAATTATAATAAATTTTTTAGAGGCTCAGAATCTGCGACTCTATTACAACCAAGGTACAAAGATTTGGCGTTATTAGGATTGGGTTACAGTGTTGGTACTCCAGAAGAAGGTATAACTGCTAACGCTGTAGTGGTGAATAGTTTTGCAGAACTTAAAAAAAGAGCAAAAGAGGTATATTGAATAAATAAAAAACTGATATAATATATACGTATTTTTACACATGTATACATGTATTTATAGATATGTATTTTTATACATGTTCACGGTTATAATATAGTAACTTTCAATTATATTAGGTTCCAGGGAAAATTGTTGTGTATAATGAAAAATTTACCTCGTATGGAGAAACCGTGGAATATAGAAGTTCGGGTGCCACGAGAGCCTCAGAATTAGGAGCAGTGGCTGTCTTGATTCGATCAGTAACACCATTTTCATTGTACACTCCGCATACTGGTATGATGAGCTACGGGGAGAACGTTACTAAAATCCCAGCTGCTTGCATAACTGTTGAAGACGCGAGTCTTCTTCGAAGAATGGCGGATCGTGGTAAAGGAAAAGAATTTTATGATTTTAGACAACTGATAAACAATAGATTATATTATAAAAGATTTTTAATTTTTTATCCAGGTGAAACAATAGTAATAAATCTGAAAATGGGAGCGAAAAGATATCCCGATACTCAGTCCCGTAACGTTATAGCTGATATAACTGGCTCTAACAATCCTGAGAAAACAGTCGTCGTTTCTGGACACATAGACAGTTGGGATGTTGGACAAGGTGCAATGGACGATGGAGGTGGTATTTTTATATCTTGGAATGCTTTAAAATTATTGAAGCATCTTGGCTTGCGAGCGCGAAGAACGATAAGGTAATTCAAATACATTATCATTAAAATTAACATTAGATCAACATTTTTTTTAAATACAAGTATATATTTTTAGTATGCATAATTGCAATATATTCAAATAAATACAGCGTATGCGTGTGACTATATTATTCAATGCTAATCGCAAAGTCATAAATATAGAGAATGCGATTATATTCCTGACTTCAAAATTCATTTGACGCGATGTCATAAAAATGTTATAAAAGAATATATATTTGAAAGAATGTGTTTTTAAAAAATTAACAATTTCGTCTAATCACACATTTTCTTTATTATCAATATCTTTAAAAAGTTATGCATATCGTAATGCATTATATAATAAGTTATCTATATATTACGCAGAATGATAATGTGGACTTCCGAGGAACTTGGTCTTATTGGAGCTCGCCAATACATACAAAGACATAGTGCGGAGAATAACAATTTGCAATTCGTGATGGAATCCGACATCGGCACATTCATTCCTGAAGGCCTCAAATTCACTGGAAATGAACTGGTTGAATGTATACTTCAGAGAATAATGCTGTCAGTATCTCCATATTTTACACATACTATTATATTTTAATATCACATTTTAATATTTTAACGATTTGGATTTTTGTTTTTGCAATCTAGATTAAAAGTATTATTCGAAATTTTTGAAGTTTATGATATATTTCGATTTTAGAAATAATAAGATAATTTTTGTAAAACAAACATTATTTATGAAACAAATGTATAAAATCTTTCACGTTCCTATAGATTGTTAGCTCCGTTGGGTGACATGAAAGTGGAAAGCCCCTCATCACAGCCTGATATACAATTCTGGGTAAATGCTGGCGTACCAGGCGGAGGTCTTTGGAATCGAAACGAAAACTACTTCTTTTATCATCATTCAAATGCAGACACTATGACGGTGGAAAATCCGAAAGCCCTGGATATGAATACAGCCTTATTTGCAGCTGTATCATTCGTTCTAGCAGATATCAGTGTTGATCTGCCTCGGCACAATTACACTCACATTTCTTAATAAAATTAAATTTATGTATACATATACACACACATATATATGAGTTTTTATAGATCGTTTTTATTTCAAATATGTCTATATATACAATCGCAGCATATATAAATAATATAATTAGGGCATACTCTCTAATGCATAAAATCTTTAAAAGCATCAAAATACACATGATTTTCCGAATATTTCCGAATCATTCTCTATTTTCTATCTTTTTACTTAAATAATTTATTAAAAGATATCTATTTATAATTTATTACACATATCAGCTCTACTTTTGATATAATACAAAAATTCTGTAATTAATAGAGCGTATATATGTATGTTTCACAAAAATTTTACTTTAGTTCAAACTTTGATATACATACATACATATATATTTCACATGTACAATTTATAACAATAGAGTAAAATAAATTTATATAAAAACATTTTATGCCAAATAACAACAGGACACATACATCTCATTAGCTACAAAAAAAGTAAGAAATGATCAATTAAATGTATAATCTTTCACACACTCATAATCCCGATATTTTTTAAACGTCTCATTTTTCAAATCATCCCTATTTCTTTAGAACCCTTCATCTTCGATGATTCTATTAAATTGTCAGTCTCAAAAAAAATGATTTTGCGACTTATATCAACGTATCTTCGTCTTGATTTGGAAAGACCATCAATAAGGAATGTTGAGAAGTTGTTCTCTGACTCGAAGTTAGTAAAGCAGTTTTCTCGCCTCCGCTGCCGTTGAACGAACAATCCGGGGAGCTGCCGTCGAAAGCTATGTAATTAGTGGTCGTGCTGCTTGTGGATGGCATATCATTCAGATCTGGCGACGCTAAAGGCGGCGCTTGACCCGACCGAGCGTTACCATCCAATGACATGATCTGCATGCTGTACGATTCACGGTATCCGGAAGTGCTGGACGTGTCTTCGTCCCAGGAAACGTCCGACACCTGAGGATGCAGATGGTGATGATAGTGGTGACAGTGATGATGCTGATGCGTAGCTCCGTGAAGCTGATCCGCTGGCACGTTGCTACTTTTTTCCCCGTCTGATTTGCGAACAGATAAACTTCGCCTGGAACGAATGGACGAAGAATCGGATGGGATGTTAGATAACGGCGGATCCGCTGACGGTCCTGCTGATGCTGTTGACGTCTGCGCGACCGATTTCGGCGAGCTCGTGGCTTGCTCCGGAATAGTTGCATCCTGCTGCTCGGTTTTTGCCTGGGTCATCTGAAAAATAATATCACATATCTCTGCGTTGAAGGAAGATTTAAAGCTGAACGAATTAGAAAATAATTAAATTGTAAAATAAGCAGTTCGGATAAAGCTAAATAGACTCGATAACATAATAATGATATATGTATTGATATAAAAATAATACTATAGAATATATAAGATATTACTAGATACTATAGAATAGATAATAATATAGAAAATATATAAAATTAAATATACATAAATATATAAAGCTTGTCACCTCAATGTGACTCTTTCGACTTTTTCTTAAGCGGAAAGTCTTCTTGCTTTGGCCCATAGAACGTTGTAAGCGAGGCCTGTCGGTACGGAATTCTCCAGAATTGTCTTCGATTGGACTGCTCGGGCTTAATTGGCTCGTCACTGTCTCTCCTGGCGGGATAGTCGACGATCATGTCGCGTCTACTGTCTTATTCACAGATTCTATTCTACGCTCCATCTACTCATGCTCCTCTTTCAAAGTGTATTCACAATTTTTTAGATTGTTTTCGAAGCGCGCAGGAATATAATAATTATATCCGCGTCCTGTGCTCTATGAAACATGTGACACTACATCTAACAAAAGCTCTTTTACAAAATTATATATAGAAGTATACGCTACTGTTGAATCTGAACATTCTTAGACGTATGTGACGATAAGAATTCTACAGAGAATTATAAGGTGCATTCTTGTTGCACAATAGAGAGATTGTTCAATCATTATTATAAAATAAAACATTTGCATTTGATATTAAGCGAGTGTAGCTCATATTTTTGATAAAATTAAATTATTTCCATACTTGTAAATGCATGACTGAAAATAGCAGATATACTTATCATAAATTATTACTATGTACAAAACGTTTTATAAAGATATTATGGTGATAAGACATCATCTTCTGCATGTACAATATGATACCGCATGTGATTGCATGTTAAAGATTGAGGCATATTAATATTCCTACAGAGAGCGAGAGAAAGAAAAAGAGAGAGAGAGAACATATATGTACTTATTACATGCATGCAAGATTGTATTTATGAACAAAACATACGAAGCAATTTTAAATATTCCTTCATATAAAAAAATAACAATGTGAAAGAATATTGCAAGACAGAAAATATCAATTATACATTTACATATAAACAAGTGTTACACGCCCATTAAATATTGATGAACAGATACTTATATAGAAGGAGTTGTTAAGAAAGCATTTTGCAAATTCATTGTGCATTAGAATTGATAAAATTTGAGAAAAGAAATGTGCTTGAGTGTTTTTGATTATTCGGGTAATATAATAACACACTTCTATTTTCTGCAAACGATATTAGATACTGTGATGTACATAATTAATAGCGATATCTCGTTAGATAAAATGTGATTCAATATGTATAATCAAATATCTATTTTTATATTCTTTCTTTCATAAATTATATTAAGTTCACCATAATTCATAAAATTGTATAAAGATATATGCATGTATAATTATTATATATTATATTTTACCCCATGCAATAGCTCAACTAAATTTTCACGAAATATCTAAGCTACAAATCTGTTTCTATTTTTTCCTATTTCGATTCCTAGATAATTATCAATAAAGCTGATTTTTTTCATATATCGATCAAAAATAATTGTGCGATATGCAAATATATACAAAATAATTGATTAATGCAAATAAGATAAGTGTCAAAGATAAAAGAAATATTTTCTACAATCTTGCATTTTTTGCATAAATTCCTGTTCGAAACCATCTTTATAAGAATATGGTAATGAAATTAGTGAAAAATGAATTACATGTGCAATATGTCAATGTTATTATAAAAAATAAATGAATTAAAAGAACTGAATAGAAATCTATTTTGTGGAAAGATATACCATTTTAAATCATATCTTTAAATCATATTTTTAAAATTAAATTTTAGTTTTTAAAATTGAAGATTAGAAACTGCATTTCACAGAATAAATTTCTACAAGTTTATTTAATTCATCAATTTTTTTGCAGTAATATAATTAAATACCATACCGTGTCAGAAGGAAAAAATAGGGATATTTCAGAAGGACATGACTTAGTATATCATGTATAAGCTAAAGCGGGGATTGGGGGATTTACCTGATGAGTTTCTAAACTCTACGGAAGAGACAAAGCGCAGCTTTGGCGCCTTTTGGTGAGGTAAGATAGGATGAAGTTTAACATGGTTACGTTCATCGCTAGTAGAAGATGGTTGGAATCTATCTGAAACATGCCACATCGAACGTCTAATATGAGGGGAAGGATAACAAGTAAGACAGACCACACCACGATATAGTAATCACGCCGATATGTTGCTCACGATCATATATCGCGTCGATGTTGCACATTTTTTAACCAGAGTAATATTGATTAATTATGATGTAAATATGATGCCATGAAGTGTCATGTAGTCTAAATATAAAGTTATAGATTTAGAAGATCCTGAAAATCATTCATGGAACTCTACAAAGAATTCTTCGATATATGCTTTGAAATATATTGTATGAATCTGAAAGTGAGTTTATTTTCCATATATGTTAATTTTATAATGTAAATATAATTTAGCTCGATAAAAAATGACCGCAATGATGAGAGCTCCAAAGAGACGAAATATTATGTGCAGGTATATTGACGTATGCGTGATGTATAATTATGTGAAATGTTCTTTAAATATCTGTACGATGTTGCTTCGACTAGAAAAACATATATTGAGTATTTGTGTATATCATGTTATAGAAAGATTATCAGAATAAGCTGTAGTAAAGCAAATAATTTCAAGCTGAAGAATTTTGATTTTATCTGCGTCAATTAAATTAAGATCAGCGTATTAAATGTATCTTCGAGTTACGAAGACTGCTGAAATTGAGTGTGTTGATACGGAACTGTTGATACTGATAGTTGTTGTTGTTGTGCTAACTGTAAAAACAATCAGCGACAGTTAGTTAGTTTCGTGCTTTTGAATGAAGGAGAAGGCGATAGAACATCGAAGCAACTACGTAAGAGAGTCTACGCAACGATCAATATAGGGTACCAACTGTTGGACATTACCATTGTCTAAATACTGCTATGTAATAAGTTCCTTATGATTCTGCGTATAAAACGTGATAGAGGAGACGATAATAAATATCAGTGTTCTAAGAGAAAATACCGCGAAATGAGATTGCACACCACGTTCTGTCTTTAAAAATTCTTTATAGTTTTTATATTGATTACTTCAATACAATTTCTTCTCCATCTGATGATATATAATTTATTTATTGTTACGTAAATAAATACATTATGTAATTATAAATTATTATTTTACCAATCTCGTTTTACGGTAGAAGAGTGGACTTAGGAGGCAACAAGAAGTGGACGAAGACTGTGGTAGACGACGGAAGAAACAGGAAGAGCGATCGAGATATCAAAATTACGAAAAAGTGATAAGCGTGAGAGGGGCACATACCAGCAGGATATATATATGTATATATATATCATAGATTGTGTCAGAATTGATTGAGTTGTACAATCGGTCCGCTTACCTCCGTTCCCTAGCTAGCAATGGAAGCAACGTAATGATCAATGTGTCAATCATATGACCGGCGAGAGAGACGCAAACGACTCTTATGCCTTTAAAACACATGGCGCCTTAAATGATATATGCGATTAACAAGAGGAATCTTTTTTTCAGACGGGGATAGAGAGGACGACAACGTAATCGTCCGTTGACGAGAGAAGGAATTCTTGTTCGTAAACGAAAGGAGAACGCTAAACTCTTCAAGTTGCAAGCCTCACTGTAAAGGGGAATGAAAGTGAAGACGATGCAAACCGCGCAAGAAACTACGAGCATAAAGGAAGAGAGCAACCGTCGAGAGTCACTGAGAAAGATTGTCGGCAGTGATCTATAGACAATGGCTCGATCCAACTGTGGTAACGGTCAGCTGATTTCGTACTGCGCGTACGACAGTAATGAAATGTATGCGAGAGGCTTGCAGTCGCATCGATCGTAATCGACAGTTAGAGAGGGAACCTCTTTATATTTATTCATCGAAAGAGATGGAATACCTGTCGTCGCCGACGTCGACTGCTGCTCGACGCAGGTCTCTCCAGTAATCGTGTCGCTCGTTTCTCGCAAAGTGGATGATCCTGCGCTAGCACTCGATATAGATCCTGCAATTGAGAGATGTACTATCGATGGTATTGCAATTTCAGAGAAAAATATATGCGCTTGTGCAATTGTGTAATATTTAGCAATGCAGTCGAATGTTCGAATCTGATTAAATGTTTGTCAAAATTATTGCTATAACATTGGGAATATTGTAATTTTTTGATATTTACGATGCGGAAAATAAAGAAATAGTATAATACCGCCAATGCGAGTACTGCTCAGCGCTGTTATTTGATTGGACAGCATTGTTTTACTCAAGTGAGTCGAATATGGCTGCAATTGGGATGTAGAATGAGGCACCGGAGTCTCGGAGGGTGTACGATTTATGTGAGATCTAGATCCTAGATCACCGGTCAGAAGATCCATCAGAGACGGCCTCTGAGTACGCGGTTGACCCTCGTTTATCGGATGCATGTCCACTACGCTTCTCTTAGGTTCCGGTTGCATTTCATCTATATATTATAATTACAAAATAATTGATCAATAATCCTCGATTAACTTAATCTACGATTTTATGTAAATGTATTTTTATTCCTAATTAACGCATTTTCTTTTATATGTATTTTAATTTTTGTAGAAAAGATAGATTTGAACAATAGACAATAAAATCATGCTTCTTATATAATATCTTTTTGAATAACGCGATATGTTATTTATTGGAGAAACTCAAATATGTAATTAGTAATTAAATTATTTTATATTGTTAAAATATACTAACCGAATCTTCGATCTTCGATTTCCTCTTTCAGCTTTTTCAATTCGTGAATGAGATCCATCAATAGTGCTCCGCGAGATTTTGGCACAATAATGCTGCCATTAATTCTTTCGCGTATGATAGTATGCATGTTTCGCTCGTGTTCAGATATCGGCGCCTGTCCGATCTTATGAATGATGAATGGGAGCATTTGGATGTATAAAGCCGTACGGTGGGTTACTACGAATTCTATAAAGTTCCAAAGATATATGGAAGCTTCGTTTCGCTTGTTCAGAAGGCGCATTGTGCGCAAAATTTTCGGCCATTCCGTTCTCAACTCAGTTTCGAAACATATCGTCATAATTTTAAGCGCTGCAAGCAAGCATTCGGACATCAAGCATTATTCATAACAGCGAAAAATATGTAATGTAATTCACATAACAATATAATTTTATAAAAACTATAAAATAATTTATTTTTCTAACTTTCTCGTAATAATTTTTTTTAAATTGTTTGTTGGATATAAATTCTTACCTAGAAACGCGACTTGATATAACGTTAAGGACGTTTTTGTCAAAGTTTTCGGATCTCTCGCGGCGAATGTTAGGCTACCGGTTCTCATATCTGTCGGCGGTTTTTGCACCGTCAATGGCACTGCTTTTACGCTCGGTGGCCAAAGCGTATTCAATACTGCCGTTAGAGCAAAACTAATGTCTGCTTGCCTCAATTTCGGTACATCTAAATCATCAGTAACGCAAGACAGTAACACAAATAATTAATTCGTAACATGACTTTCTTGCATAAAATATTATATAATGATGCATTTTTACCTTTTCTTCCGGTCCCAACGCGCAGAAATAATGGTATCAGCAAGTTCAACATCGCATTCTCGGTACGTGTCTGGGTGGCGAACATGTTCTGACCGCTGAGAACATTTTCCAACGAATATCCCTCGCCGAATGATATCACGTGCAATGCAATCAGACGTAACACTGTCGAGCAGAAATGCGGAGGTGGTATCTTGCTCATTAAAGCAGCTGCGGAAGCAGAAGTTACGTCCTCAGGGGGAGTATCTCCGACAATCAAGGCCTGAAAAATTGATGACAATTAATTGATTAATTAAATAAAACTAAAAATTCATTTAAATTAAAATAAAAACGAATTCGCCGATAGACAAAATTCTTTCAACATTTACCTGACAGGTATTCAACAGTGTCTTCAAATATTGGAAGTGCGCGATGTACGGACATTTCAACAGGGTCTCGTAAACTCCTTTTAAAAGATTACTGGCGGCGACCCAATTGGTATTCCTTCTGATCGATGCTTTCTTGTGTATTTTACTAAAAGTCTTGTCCAATCTTCTGAGAATGAGTGTTAATGCCGGTCTCATGTCGTCGGCCGCCCATTCAGTCGAAGGAAGAATATCGTTCATATATCTACGAAGCCCACGGCAAGCCATAGTAGTGGGATCATACGGAGAGATCTTCAAGAGAGTGTGAGCAATATCGGCTAGTCGCTGCATAAAGAAACGCAATCATTACTTACAACATTACAGTTATTAAATCCTCTGCATGCATAGACGAATTATTTTGTCATAATGTCATTATTAATTTATATTATTAACATTTTTTATTAAATGTGAAAAATATTTCTATTTTCTATTTTTGTGTGACAAATTAGTTGCAAAAAAATCGTTTTTTATTAATAGCTTATTAATTTATAAAAAAATAATTATCTCAATTATTCATTATATTTATTGTATAGCAATAAACTAAATATTGTATGTTAAAAAGAGAATGGATAAATTTACCACGTGACATTTTGAATCCAACAACTCGATATTCTTTCCGTCCTGAGATTTCTTGTTGAGTTCTACCAAACGAGCGGAACAACGAGTCACGAAATCTCCAACCATATTTAATAAAGTATTGCGAGGTCTTCTGAATTCGTTCTTGTGGAAATTCTCAGCGTCCTCATTGTCTCGATCGTAAAAATGTCGAGTTTTTGAATGTTCTATGTACTTTGTCGTGTGAGTGTCATCCTCGTAATCATAACCCGGTGAATACGGACCTTTGCCGTAATTTTTTTGACTGGACCCTTTATGTTCGGGGCTAGATTTTTGCGGACCATTGTAATATCTACGAGAATTAATGAGATGTTAGACCTCGTAAAGACAGAAGAAGAGGAAATAATTATAAAAAGAAAATTATGATAAATTCAGTACACACTTTGTCAATGCTTCAGAATTGTTAACTAATGTCTTCACTGCAATGGCTAATTGATTTATTATCTCCTTTTCTGTCTTGCCTTCTCTATTATACGTGGGTAATTGAATCTCCTGAACGTAGCACGGCAATACTGCTTCTAATATTATCTATTTAAAATGCAATAATTTTATAAGAGATTTACTTGATCAAATAAATTAGTAATAAATTCTTACCAACATCTGCTGGCCTCTAAGAGCGTCAGGTGCGTAAGCTATCACCATCACGCAAAGAGATATACAATCAAGCACGTTGACCATTTCGTTTTCATCGTGATAACAGAAGTCTATCGCTTTCAAAGGTTTCTCTTCTCTCACCAATTCTCCTATATTGAGTGGATCCGGCGACGGAGTTTCCAAACTCATTAACAAATTAAACAGGCACGTAGAAGGAACCTTACCATAAATAACACATTATCATTTTTTAAAGATATACGCGTGTATTTTTTATTTATAGGAAAAAAACAAACCTTATGAGCTTCGCCGTGGATACTCATCTCATTCGTGTCCAATATAGTGGATACGCTGCCAAACATTTGAAGAATAAAAGGTTTACGATTCATGAGATAAAATTGTTTGACCGCATATTCGACAGTAGTCGTTACGAGTTTGTTTGTCTGATGCGTCGAATATAATTGTAATAAAGTCGGCATGATTAGCAGATAACCGTTGGTCGAAAAAATATTCTTGAAATTATGCGCTGCATTTATGTAAGTTGCCACAACGTAACGCAGAATGCATGAATCCTCGCTGTGAAGAATCAGTGCACCATTCAAAACGTTTAGAAAAAGATGGATATCGCCGGAATACGCAAAGTTGCCAGCCATGGCTTCAAACATGCGCGCGATTAATCTGACCCACATAAACTTATGCATCACGTCCAGCCCGAGAAGTTCCTGTAATATCGCGGAAGAGGATTTGACGTTAACAAAATTATTTGTAAAATAATTATTGTGCAACACGCGATGGTTTTAATTAAAATCAAATATCTAAATACGTACTCTTCCAATTTCACCACCTTTGTACAGATCCAAATCCGCTTCTAACGCTTTACGCGGAAATGACGGTAGCTTCATGAGTTCTTCGTGAAGAAATACGACTCTCTGCACCACCATATCGACATTCTTCAAGATTGCCCAGGTCAACAGCACTTTTCCTATCTCTACAAACTTGTGCCTTAATTCCTGCCGTTGCAACGCGTTAAACGCGTCTTCCGGCTTCATATGAATGAGTTCAATTTGCGGAAATTGAGATCTCTTGAAGAAATAATAATCTCTCACGTATGACGACGGATTATGTATTTGATCTGAAATTTAACAAATAATGCGTATAATAGAATTCTTATGCATAGTAAAAGTAAATAAAAAAACTAACGCGTCTTGTAATCCACAAGGAAGTATTCGTGATGTTTCGATTCTTCGATACCGAAAAAGTCTAAGGACTCTCGAAGTATCTGACAAAATTGCGTGTCCTCTTGGACCGGAAATTGGGAGGGTATTTCTCCGGCATCGGGATCCTGGGGACCGTGAACAATAATTTTTTTCGCCGACGGAACGTTTGCCGTAAGCAGAATTGACGCGTCGCACTGTTCCTTTCGCAGAATCTGCTTTAGATCTTTAAACATAATGCCGTGTACACTGTGTACAACCTGACATCAGAGAGAATCATTATCAACAATCTCGTATTAATAAAAAAGGTTTGTAAAAAAGTTGAGAAAGAAGCAGAATTTACCATCCATAGAATAGACAGCGCAGTTCCAATTAACTTTTGACCTTCTTCATGCGGAGTACGCACATAAAACATAACGTATCCAATGATATAATTGTACAGGGCGAACGCAGCTTGTTGTGGCAATTTTGGTACAAATCTAATAAGATGTCTTAAAATCTTGAACATCAACTCTTGCTTTTCTCTCGTCAGACGTTCCAGCACGTATCGAAGAAACAAAGCACTGTCTTCTACCAAGCAACTCCAAATCACCTGATATAGATAAATAAATTTATAAATTTATAAATTTATTATTTATTTATTTTTGATAGATAAAATTATTAAGATTAATTTCAATAATATTTTAAATAATAAGATTTAAATAATGTATGTGTAATTGTAATTTATAAATTTATTTTGTTTTACTTGATATGCCACTTCATATACGGCGTTTCCATCTTCGGAGACTGCTGGATCATCCAGAAGATTAATAATTTGAACAATCGCTGAACATAGCGACGAGGGAAACAATGAGAGAGCCGACTGACTGTGATGTGACGTATTTCTCTGAACTGTCTCACCTGCATCCTCATCTCCCACATTACCTGCATTGAAAAATAAATTATGATCAAAGAATATATTTTAACAAAATAAGTACATACCTTCGTCATGATCATCTCCTATTGGACTGGGTTCATAAGCAGCCTGGACAGTAATCGGTATTGTTGTTATCAAAAAGTTCTCTCTTTCTTCCCGCTTTTTATCATCTTGCGCCTGAAGAGCTTTCTTAATCAATTCGGTTTGCTGCTTCTTTCTCGTCTTCGTCGCAGTCACTAAAGATCTCTAAAATAAAAAACAAACGCTATAAGCAATTCATTAATCTTAAAAAAATATATAAAACATAATTCGTGATAATTACTTACATGACGTTCTTGATTGATAGTGACCTCTTCCACTTTAGTCTTCACTTGTGGCATCCAAGGTGGATCGACCACTGGTAAAGATTCTATTCCAATCTTCGGTGACGGCAGAGTGAATTCTATTCCTGGAGGAGGCACTTTGAAAGTTAGATGAGCCGCCTCTTCCATTCGCGGCCACACCTGGTATCGTAATTTCCACAGAACTTGAAATCGCAAAATAGCATTGATGCGTACACTGGTGTTACTATGCTGAAGACCCTTGTGCATCAGTTCGCTGGCCTGGTTCGGTGCTCGCACGGCCGAAATTATGAAAAGCGCCGCGGCCGACGCGGCGACTTCTTGATTTGATTCTAATAAGAGTTCCCACGCGACAGGCAACACTTCCACAAACAAGTCTTCCGTCATAACGACAGCTCCTTTTATTAAAGTTGCCAGAGGTGCGTGAAAAGCATCCTTCACTTGATTCCTTAGATATTTTAAAATTGGCGGTGGTTCTCTATCCTCCTCAACATCATCATCCGTTGTGATTTTTTTCGAAGATTCCTTGCCTCTCTCAGAATCTGGCTCTGCGAGATCTTTCGAAGAATCCCGTTGAGTTGATCGACCAGATTGAGAACCGTCTAGATTTTTCTCTATCCTGTACGAATATTCAAAATTAGCACCAAATATAATTTTAAAACCATAGTTATTTACATGAATTTATATTTTCAGATTTTTAGTAAACTACACATTTTAGTAATAAAAATATTTAATTAAGTAATTAGCAATATTTTAGAGCATAAATATTTATGCAATCAACAAATATATTTTAGTATAACTTTAAATTACTTGTATTTGCGTCCCACGCTGTCTTTTCTTCGGACAGGCGATACCTGCGTACTAGTTTGATCGGATACCTTGCGGCTACGTTTATCTTTCTTGCCATTTTCCTTCTTATCAGTGTCCAATATACCCGTTCCGTTTAAAATACCAAATTCCTCGCCATAGATCTTTCTCACAGACTTTACCAATCTGCTGGTAGCACGCATCTGTCGCCGATGGCAAAAAGGATGGCAAAAATTTTGATGAGAGCAGTAAAAATTGAAGGAATTGGCGACCTGTACGAGCACTTTCATCCACGGAAAATTCTTGTTGGTTTCGTCAGTTTCGTTGCTGTCACTCGGACTCTCTGGTGGCTGATCGTCGCTGAGAATACCTGGTGATTCCTCGCCACTAACTTCACCGGCAGCACCCGGCTCTGATGTATCGCTTCTATCAGAAAGCGAACTCACTTTTCTCTTAGATTGAATCGAATCTGCACGTTTTACTGTATCTATAAATAAAATATCGCTAACGTTACTAAATATATGTGATTGCTGATTATTAGAAATATATAAATAAAAAATTAATTAGTAACACTATTACGTATGTAGTTTAAATTTTAAAAAATTTATTTCTAAATATAATTATATGTCAATTTTTATTTACAGAAAATCATTAATATTCATATTGTAATATTCTCGATTTCTTATGCTGTTGAAATTTCACTTACATGCCTCGCACTCTGTATCCTTGCCCTCTTTAGTATTACGACGAAGTTTAAGACTCCTTTTTTTAAATGAACCAGTTCCAGCAGTACTACGACGAAGAAGAAATGGTCTACTTTGAGGAGCTGGCATCCTTTTTCCTTTTTCCTTTTCAATATTCTGAGTCTCTTCTCCTTGAATCGTAACCGTCGATTTGCTGCTACCCTCGGACTCATTATCAGGTTCGTACAAAACAAAACTAATTTTACGCTCCGCTATAAAATTAATATTTATATCAAGTATTTTATAACTTATTTTAAAATAAAATTTCTAAGATAAAAATAATTAAAAATTAAATATAATACTAGTTCAATAAATAATTGTTTAATATATATATATATATTGCTCTTTCTCACATATATATTTGTTGATATATATATATATATATATATATATATATATATACATACAATTTGTATATGCATACATATTGCAATTTTTAAAACTCAGTAGGAAGTAAGAAGCAACAGGTTCTGGCATTTATTTAAAAAGGAAAGAAAAAGATTTTGAGCCTAGACAAGTAACAGACTCCCCAATCTTCGCTTTGCGGCACTCGGCCACATACTGCGGGACTGCGGCTCGACTCTTGGCTCTCGGCTAACGTAAAGTTAAATTTCATCGTCAGTTGGCGACACCGTTGCATAGTTTTGTGGTCGATGGTGGGGATTAGTTTCATAGAAGACATGCAGCGCAACGGATGCATAGGACGCACGTGTCTAATGGAAAGGATGGAAAGAGAGAGATATCGCGTCTAGTCAGACGAGATCTGCTTCTCCGAGCTCGGTTCATTCTAAGTTTCGCCGTCAGATGGCGACACCGCAAAGTATTGCAGTCAATTGAGTCAGCGATTCAGCGATGAGGACTAGGAGACTAGTCTCGCGCGACACATGCAGCGTCGCGGATAGAGACGCGCGAATGTAATGGAAACACAGGTATATTTGATCGAAATATTATTGTAGAAAATTCTATTTTGTTTGCATTTTCTGTTAAAAATTTAAATATTGAATTTTTATGCATTGCATAAATATATAATTAATATATTTTTATGTATGCATTGCAACATGTATGTGTATACATATATCAGGTGCTTGCAAATTGCAAAAGTATGATTGTACTTTTGTAAGCACCTAATATATATGTATATAATATATATAAATTTTATATATACATATATACAGTATAAGATATTTAATAATAATCGCTTTACACCCATTGTATGCAAGCGGGTTAAATCGAATAGAAAGATCCTTTACTATTTTGCGATTTTCGCAATAAATAATGAAAAATTAATTAAAATTACTAGCGGATTAATATTAATATACATCCATTATAACGTTATTTTATTGTTGAAAAGTAAAAAAAATACATAATGTATACATATTATTTCCTGCTTCGTATTTGTAGAAAATAATTGTTACACCGACATTGTAATCGCGTGCGAAATAACTAAAATAAATAAAATAAATGTATGTATATGTAGCCAAACGATGTTTATTGTTTTTAAAAAGCATGCCTTTTAAAGAAAATATTGATAAAGTGAGGAGAGTGCGAAGAAAATAAGAAAAGAATGCGAGAAAAAATATCAATGTTCGAAACTATACGTATAATCGCGTATGTGAATAAAATTGAATGAAATACATTTGTGTGAGTAAATGGAGTCATCGCGATAAGAGACCAACGTACATGTAATATGATACCTCAATCGGTCGGCGGCACTCGTTCGAGCGTGCCTTTTAAAAATGAAGCGAGAAAGGGATGTGAAAAGGAGAAATAGAGAGAAGAATATATAGAAAAAGCTTTCTCTCCATATCCTTTTCTTATTCTCTTTGTGTCCTTCTCACTTTATCTCTATCTGGTTTTTAAAAGGCACGCTTGAATAAGGATCATTCAGCTTTACATACGTACATTTATTTCATTCATTTATTTACGTATACGATTATGTCAGTTAAGCCCAAGCATTTTTACGAGTGTGAATTTAGGAAATAAATGTGTATACGTCATTTATGTACTTAAATTTTCAACAATAAAATAATATAATTGTATAATAATATTAATCTGCGTTGGTAATTTTAAGTTTTCATTATTTATTGCGAAGATTGCAAAATGATAGAGGAAACTTTCCTCAATTTTTATCTGTTTGCGATGGATGGAATGATTATTACCGAATATCCTGTATATATGCAATTTTTATATAAATTATTTATTTTTATTATATATATTTTTTTCTATACTAACCGACAGCTTCACGACTAATAACTTCACCGGCTATGGATTGAAGACTTTGTGCCGATGCTTGTGAATGACCCATGGATGATAGAGCCACGCTCCAACGTCGATTTGCTTCTCGGCTATACATTCTTTCCCATGGTGGAGGCCGTTCCTTTGTCAGTAATTTACTCGACTTTGGCAGCGTTTGGTAAGTCTCTCTTAAAAATGCTGTCACTTCCAAGAGCAAAATACAAGCAACGTGACGTAACGCGAAGGGACACTGGGATCCATAACTATTTATACTACCTGAAAATTTATTAAATTTGTATTATATTTTACTTATCATTGCTCAAATAATCTTGTAAGATTTTTGCAAAAGAATATTACTGTCATCAAGAAAATCTTCCTCTTCGTCTTCTAGAATTAAATCTCTCTGTTTGCTTTCGTCGGATACTATATTGGTTACCTGTTCCATATTTTGTTTATCTTCCGCTAAAAATTCCTCCAAGCGTGCTCCTATAGCCTATTTTAATCATAATATTATATTTTATTCCACCAAAATTATTTTAATTAAAAAAGTGCAATAGAAAAAGTACCTCTGCCCATTGATAAAATAATTTTCCTGCAGTGCGTTGCAATACATGAACGCGCCTAAGCGCAGTAGAGGCATTTCGATTATTTATCGGCACAGATGGTCGGAACATAGGAAAGTTGTGTTTCATCCACGCAGGCCAATGACCTTTGTTGCATTGGTGCACCAAGTGTGCACATTCCAGTATCAAGCAAGCGCGAGATACTATTGGAGCATACGGCTGTAATCACATGTCAATATACGTGTTATCGTGTTTTCTATCATGTTATACATAGAAATATAGAATAATTTGCAAAAACAGCAAAATAATCATTACAAGATCTAAGAGCGATGCCATTAAATGAGGGTCGGGAACGGAGCCTGGCTGGCACGTCTCTAGTAGAAAGGAAAATCGTAACATTCCATCGAATACCGCAGTACAAGGCACCAATCTTCTTTCCTTTAAGACAACGAACTCGGATTCTCTGCAAGCCTCGCCGAGCTCCAATGAGTTTCTCCGACTAAAATCTAATCAGAAAGACATAGACACATACATATGTAGAAAATTTTTACGACGAATATTAACATTATTTAATTTGAAATTTTGTGCTGTAAAAATTACACACATAACAATAATATACAAAGTAGTTAAATAAAATAGGAAAATATTCTCTTACAGCTGCCAGGCACCTCTTCCATGCTTTCTTTTTTCTTGCTCTTTCCGAAACCGATTTTATTCAGTTGATCTTCCATCCGACGTTTCGCCTTGAGAAAAGTTAAGCCGACTCTGGAAAGAATTGTGTATATATAATTTAATATTTTTCTTCGTGGAAATAATATAATATTTTTTGATAAGCGCAGAAGAGTCAGTAAGTAAGCGTCTTTAAATAGACCATCTTACCCGCGACCGGTGCGTGACGTACGATAAGGACCGTAATGGAAACTGGGTTGCCTAACAAAGGTGCCGTCTGTGGGTGACTCGCTACTTTCATGGCTATCGGTAGACTCAGTTCGACTGTAATCCTTCCGGAACCAATTGACTAAGCAGATCGGAGAACGATTCAATATAATGGCTTATAGTACGCAGTAAATGATACGTGCAATTCCTGCAGCTATTGATGCTCACCGATACCACCGATCGACTGAAATCGCGTCGACTTCCGCATTTTTCCAGGCCCAAGATAAGGTTCGATACCTAAATTACGTTCGCTCTGTCGAGGCGTCAGCACGTGCTTCTTACGCAAATTACCTAACGGGCTTTGACTGGTTTTCACACTTTCCTCGCTCAATTCTGTCTCAAGGAGGCTCTGCAAATTCGATCCCGCCTACCCCGAATCAACCCCTTTTTTAATATTATATAGAACAATAGGTATAATATGCTTATTATCCAGTTATAATTACTATTGTATTTACAGCGCAAGTAGACGATGTGCTCCTCTTCTTAAAGAGAAACTTTCGCGTGCCTCTGTCATCAACGGTGTAACAGGTGTCTCCTCCGATATCCGCGTGTTCCTCTAAATCCGATTGATGAATATGCCTGTGAAATTTAACAGAAACGTGTAAAAAGATCATGAATTTTATTTAAATGGTTGTTTACTTTTTAGTATATTTAAAATAAAATTATGTTTTAATTATCCAAACATTATTAATTTTAAAACGTATTATTGTGGCGATCATTATTGTTTGTATAAAGTGTGTATTGCACACTACTTCATTTTTGAAAAGATTATTTAAATACAACACAATAAAAATTAAACAATAAAAATGAAACAAAAATTATGGTAAATTTTCTCAAGAATATTTGTTATTCCTATTAGTATTTTTTCAAGATTTTAAAATATATTTAAAGCATGCTTATTTATATTCACGAACCTTATGACACGTGTCGTCTGCACATTACTGTTACACCGTTTATTGGGCCGATCCGCGGAATCCAGAATCCCACTAAGAGCAACGCGTCGAAAAATACCGCCATGCGCCTCCTTGGCATATGTCATCAATTGTCGCACGTCGCAATAGAGGCTAATGTTCTCCTGCGCTTTTAGCTGTTTCGCGGAGTCGACTAGGCGTGTGACCAAAACCTTGAAGACGTAGGCCATGATCTGCCCTTCGATACCGCGAGTCCCGTAACCCCCGACATTATAAGACGTCGCGACGCCGCTGGACGTCGCGCCGATGTTTCCGCCCGAAGTACCTGAGGTACTAACTCCAGTTCCACCAGCACCGGAACCGATCATTCCGGCGCCGAAATTAGTCGCGTATCCACTTTGACAGGCTACGTCGGGCGACTTGCTCGACATTCGTTTTTGATCTGAAACAAAAATGAGGAATTAATATACGAAAGAAAATAAGCCTATATTAACAGAAAATTAGAAGATCTTTTTGTAAGGAATAATGCAATTTCTTTAGTTTATACATCTTCTAAATTAATACATTTAATTCATATTTAATATTTACTCACTGAGTGGTGATAACAGCGAACTCGGATCAACGCAGTATCCAACATACGCATGAAAAAAGTCCAAGATGTCCGTCAGCGGTTGTTCGCGTACCATCGTTCTTAAAAATCGCGAAAATTGACGGGAGCTCGCGCGATGCAATTTAGTCAAAATGGTCTGGCCCTGAGAGCGACAAATATCGGCCTGTGGTCCGCGCACACCGTCCAGGCAACCGTGCAGACAGCCTAAGTGCTTCAATACTCTGATCACGCAATTCATGAGGAGATTATGTGCAGTCGGCTTGCCTTTTCCACTGTGCTTGTAATCCTGTTGATTCAATCCCACTGGCGAATCGTGTTTCTTTCCGGTTTCCGATTTGTTGTCGATTCCTGTACCAGATCCTATAAAAATTAAATTGTTTAATGAGTGCTTAGAATATGATGAATTTTTTATTAATTTTTGTTATCACATAATAATCGTGCAATTTAATTTTCTTAATACAAGATGCGAAAAAATAAAATTGTAAAAAAGTGCAAAGTGGACAGAAGCTGTTGTCATATAAAATACTACGTTTTAAATAATATAACTATTTGAATAGTCAGATTTTATTGCCTGCATTACTGCCAGTGGCCTCTTCCCGAAGACAATGCTTCATCACTCCCATGTCCATTAAAAGTTCCATTAAGTTCAACATAATCTCGCAGACTCGCGGCGTACAAGAAGTATTATCTCGCAACGCAACGGAATGTATCGCCTAAACAATAAAATGTGTGAGCGAGACGACATAAAATTTTAAAATAATTTATTGTAATTTATATATACATATATACATAATACGCGTATATATACCTTCAAAACGACTTGAAGATCAATGTCGCCTTCTTTGGTAATGTAACATGCGGAGCCTGGTGCTTCTGGCACCTCGTCGCTCATATAAGTGATATTAGAATCTGTCTGAGATCTCGTGAGACTGGGTTTCCTCTCGGAACACAAACGTCCTCCTTGAACACTGATGAGATCCAATTGACTATCAATAGATCCCTAAAAAGCAACAAATTCAATGAAGATATTTAATTATTGCGATTAAAATTATTAATCTCTTAAGAAATTTATTTTAGTAATAATATTACTAAGACTATTTTCTTTTAAATTATATAGAGATATTAAATAAATGTAGAAATCTTAAATAATATAGAAACTATAAAAAGAAACTATTCAAACCTACTAAAAAATACTAAAATTAAAAAAAAATTTTTTTTAATTAATTAAATTAATTTTTATTATTCTATTATAGTGCAATTTTGCTCTGCATAAAATTACAGCTTTTTTACCTGCCGCTTCATGTAATCTGGAGATGGGGTTGGCGTGTGCTCCGTGACAGTAATGATAGGATTCGGCGCGGTGTAAGATTGACTATAGAAACGACTCTGTTTTCTCTCGATACGAGTATCACCGATGTACCTAAAAAATAATATGGATTAAAAACCAAATTTGAGAAAGTGTCTTCGAATATCCTCATGCTATTGGCAATGTGAACCCTATATATACAATATCAAGCACTATGCTCTTGTCTCTATATAATTTCGATCTACGATCGTGCGCCTGTCATTCCGTCGACACATGCACGATGATTTTTAATTGCTTTTCCTATCAACGTTGCCCCCAATAGTCGACGATTAAATTTCACAGATTGAAAAACAATATATTTTTAGATAGCAACTTAAATTTTAGTTGTAAAAAAATAAAATAAACATTAAAAGACAGTTTTTATATGCATAAATATTGAGATTGATAACACTATATAATAAAAAATATTTTAAATGGTAAAAATATGGAATTAAAAATTTAGATATGAAAAATATATCAATATTTATAAACATTAATTTTTAATTAAAGAGCCAAAAAAGGGCAACGTTATTCAACTTCTTATTTATTTCATTATATATCATGCATAAATATATGAAACAGCAATATTTCTACAATGTACGTAATTTTTTTTATTGATATATTTAATGGAACTATGTACTGGAATATATATAGATATAAATATATAAAGCAATAATTTATTGAAGCAATATAAAGGAGAATATATTTAAATTCAATTGTGAAGCTTAGTGTGGAAATTAGTACATGATATAATATTATGTACCATACGTACAGATGAGTATAAAATAATAAAAAAAAACAAAAGCGTTAGAAACAAATTGTCAATGTTATCAGTTTTGTTTAAATAATTTCTTTTAAGTGATGATTTATTATTTAAAATCTGCTTTTGCTCAATAATATTTAAAATATAGGGTACATCAATGCAAATATTAGAAAATCATTTCACACACATATATAAATTATCAAGAAAATGTACTGCTCGCAGGATGATTTTATGTATTATACAACGGAATCAACAAAATGTAAATTATTACAATGGCATATTAAAAAGTAACAAAAGCAGAAGCGATTATTAAAAAATTATTTTCAAAGAGATTGATTATTGAAACATGGAGCGGATTGGATGTGCCTTATATGCCGTTGTAGGTTCTTGGCGATGCGACTGAATTTCGGTGTGTATTTAAGGGGTAAATGTGCGTCCTACCGAAAGCACGAAGCTCTTAAAAGAAGCGTGTGAACCGAGCTGCAATACGGAACTTCCTCTGAGTGACGTTGATGACTTACCCTCCCGCGGTCAGCTCGTTAATCAAGCAGCTGAGCACGAGTTCGGGGTGAAAGGGCGAACGAGAGAGAGAAAAGAGACACACACAGAGAAAGACCATTACGCATAAGTATTACGATAGGCTTATCAATATTTAAGCGTTGGATTAATTGTTGAAAAATATCTGAGCTACATTCTCGCACCACATATTGGGTCACACAATTACTATCCAGCTATCAACAATTATAAACCGCTTTAATTAAGACTTAACATTGGTACTACACCTTAATAAATAAATACTAATTTTTTTAAATTTATGCTGAAAATTAAAAAAGAATTATAAATCGATATAAATTCATACACATTTATTCACCCAATTTATGGTCGAAAATATTATTCAAAATTATCAATGTTGGATACAATAATTATAAAAGTTTTAAAAATAAATATGAGTTATAGAAAACAATTATGAGTTATAGAAAATAATTATAAATTATAGAAAAAAATTATAAGTTATAGAAAAATACTTTCGATGAAATTTAGAATTTAATTTAATGGTCTCTATTTAATTTTTTTAAATATATATAAATGTTATTATAAATTTAGAATATATTAGAAATTGAATCCAAATTATTAATTAAGATTATGAAAAATCAAGAAAAATATTAAAAATTACATAAAATTATTATATTATCCAATATTGATCATCAATATCCGTAAGAAATTCTTGCTCTAAAGAAACGTTTGTTTCTTGTTGCATACAGCCTAAACATAACTACTTCCCTTCTGGCTATAATTGTTATTACGATATAAAGATTTAATTACGATATGGATATTTATTACGACATAGATATTTAATTACGATATATTATTAATTATAGTTTCTTAAACAAATTCACTACAAAAAAATATTTGCACGTAAATATGCGTCACATATTCGTTTTCCCAGCTTAATGAATAAAAATCAAACAAAATTAGAACTTGTCATTTGCATCTAATTAGAAAAGTGATTCTAATTACAGAGGCTAAAAATTGCCGTGAAAACACGCGTATTTACGTGCGAAAGATATCAAAAGTCAAAGCAAGAGAAAAATCATAAGTTTTCTACTGCTTCCTTTTGAATAAAGTAAACAGAGAGAGAGAGAGAGAGAGAAAGAGCGAGCGCCTACCTTAAACTCGGCATACTCTTTCCTTTAATTAGATTTGTAGGATGTTTCATGTAGTCGACGTCCTTTGCCTCGAAAAACTTTGAGGTGGTCGAAATTTGTTTCGCCAGATGATCATCTCCGGTATCGAGACTTCTGTGACATTCCTATAAATGAAAATATGTTAAATATGTATAGTTAGTAGTTATATATATTTTGTTAGTAGAGTTACACAGGAAATCAAATTAGAAATAATATAAAAATTACAATAACAATTTTTGTTCTTACTTTGATTATAATTTATCATACATAATGATAACTCATTATTTTTTATTATTATCAAGCATTTAAAAAAATTTGTTTACCTGGTCGAACAACATTTTAGGCTCCTCCTGGCCAATCTTCTCAAGTGCCTTCTCTGACTTCGACAGTAGTTTCGTTTCCACAAAAGCTTTGAGGTCGGCCATCTTCATGCGCTTTTTCGACTTCTCGCTGGCACGTCTTGTATGACTCGATTCGCTGTCCTGACCTTTGCGTGTAGTACACGATGAATCTGAAAATGTGACCAAATCTACACAGAGAAAGAAAAAAATATTCGTCTTGAGATGGTGAAGATAGACATAAACCGTACCCGTTACTTCCAACGAAGAAGTATCGCGTGTATCGGGGACCTCTATTACTTCCTTTAATACGTCCTTTTTCTTACTCTCGGGACTCTGATAAATCGACACCTCAATTTTTGGTATAGGCAAGGAGTTGCTGCGACGACGTGGCATTTGCTGCACTGAAATTTCCTCATTGATTCTTCGTAGTCTGCAATATGTTTCAATATAAGACAATATTTAAATAATAATCAGTATCAAATTACTTTCATACCAATATTTAAATTTGATAAATAGTTTGTATGCATCAGAGAAAAAAAAGAGAAGAAAAAATCACAATAATTGCATGTTACATTAAATGTTCAGAATATAGAAATAAAATTTTAATTAATCTGAAATTAATTTACCGATAATATAAGAATTGAAGAGCCCAGAAGACACCCTCTTCCTGCCATTGAGATACGAATAAACATCTTAAAGTGGCTACGTCTAGGAAGGTTGCAGCACGAACGTCCGGATCGACGGTTGCAGAACTGGTAGCGTGTTCCATTGTAGTTGCATCAGCAGCTTGACGTTGAACCGAGAAACTTCCACGTGTTTTTGAAGTTTCCTGCGCTTCTTTTTCCGCCCTAAAAGTTTTCTCCTCTTTCTCCTTCTCCGCGCCTCTAATAAAAAAATGCTCTTTAATAAAAATTAGTAAACTATTTTTATCTAAATCAACGCAGGTGAGATTAAAAATATAAATACCTATTTATTAAACTATATGAAAAAGATTTTCTTTTCATATATGTAATCTTATATAATTTCAATTAAAATAAAAATTCCACACATAAAAATATATGATTTGTGTAAAACTTAGCCAACCCGGTTTTCGCAGTTTTTCCGGTTTGATATTGTTTGCACGTGTCTAATCCAGAAATTGCCGTGACCTGCTCTATCGTCAATGTAGATTTCGAGGAGCTGGTCGTCCTGCCCATCGCGACATGAAAGATGCTGGCCTCACCCTGCGGTAGCCACAAAAATATTATTTGCTCTGCGCTCAGTCTCGAGTTATTACCTCGCGTAACTCACTGCGAATATGGTGGAAACTTCTTTTACCCCATCAAGCATTCTCTCCGATTCACTCAAAGATGGTAATCTGAATATTACCTAATACAATAAAAATGTCGATTAAATATTTGCGATTAGTATTCGTCACAAACTCTCTTCCTTACCACGTGTTCGTCCTCCGCACCGGAACTTTCTTCAGGAATCGTTTCTGGGAAAACTGTGTCTTTCGGCGACGATAACCAAGTGCTCTGTTGCTGTTATTAATTATGTAAAATTATTTTTTGTTTTATACAATCGAGAAACTTTGATAAGACTTATTTGATTTTAAACTCACATCATCATCAATTATTTTCGAGGATGGCTGGCCGCTTTGATCCGATGAAAACGATTGACTAGGTGGACTTTCAATATCTGAAAAATATTAAGAGATATTAATAAAGTCAACAAGAGAGAAATATAGCGATATAACAGGATTAAATATATAATAGATATTTTAATATAATGTTATAAAGATTTTTTGGTACTATACAAATATATAAAACACTTTATGTGTTATTAATCAAAACTTACTTCCTCCAACAAAGACGTCATCAGATAATAAGTGATGCTTAGCAGATTTGAAAGACTGGCTCCAATAAATGCGTGGCTTGGCACGACAATGCGTTGTAAAACAAGACGCCTCCGGATGTCGGCATTCGTACATAGCGGACCATATTTTTAGGCCGTTCTCTAATCGTAAATTCGTCTTGAAGTCGATGTCTTTTAAATGATTAAACAGAGGCGCAAACAGATAGACAAAGAGCTGGACCAAGAAAGAGAATAATTATTATCACGATTTATGTTTCCATCAGATCGCATAAAAATAACAATTTCAATAATTTACCGTCATAGTGGGTATCGGAAATAAATAGAAAAAGGATTGGACTGATCGGCTTCGTTCTCGGAGCATTCCTCAGCCGAATCCAAAAGTATCCAGTGGAGAATATAGAGAAGAGTCGTTTCCATCGTGCCAAGGCTTTGAAAATCCTTTCTGAAAGATCAATGATTTCCATCGCGTGAAACTTCAACTTGGAGAATATATACATCTTCGATGTTACTTACCTATTGTGCAAAAGACTAGACGTAGCATGAAGAACGTAAGGGAGAGCGGCTTGAATCAAACGCCAACGTGGCACGTTGCTTAATATCTGGCTTAACGAGGGTGTCAGGTCATTGTGAAGATTTTGCACTAAAACTCTCTCAAGACACTACGAAAAGAAGAAATATATTTCAAAAAAATTTCGTCACTTTTTGCGTAATCATAATTTTTCATAATAACTACAAATTTCGGATTAACACTTTGGAATAAAAATAATAATTAATCTTATCTTGTTATTGACATAATATTATATATTATAAATTATATTTTTTGTATATTTTATAAAAAAATTATGTATACTGACCGTGCATGCTTCTTTCATTTCCTATGCGAGCGTTTTGGGAATTAATAAACAATATTAATGTTTGGAAAATGATAAAATAACGAATAATGCGAAGTGAAAATAAGATTTACAAAGATAAATGTGAGCTAAAATAGCAAATTTTTACGACAGACTACGAGCAAAGCTACATAAAAAATGTTATTATATTTTATAATGAATGAATTGTGTTAATATATTTAATAATACAGATACTGACATGTAAATATATTGGATTATAACAAAGTGCCTTTGTGTGTACTGAATTTTATATAATATATTTACGATAATACTTTTACAGAATCTAAGAATTAATTATATCGGGAATCAATATTAAAGATAAAAGACAGAGACATATTTTATTACGATTATCTAAAATTTACACTCGATTACATTGTTTCATTTCAAATTATTCTAGAAAATTAATTTGATACATCTATACAGATTTTGTCTGATCACAATAAGTGTATGTACGAGATGCAAAGATGACAAGACCACGGAAATACGATCTATCGAAATGACTAAAGCAGAGTTGTGTGCAAAGTAGGCAAGTTTTAAACGAGCGAGCCAACTTACATGATGGCCTGGTGCGTGTTGACAGAACTGCAGGTAACACGTGGAGGCGGCCGCGTGGAGAGGACATTTATGTTAGTGCAAGTTAAGCAGATATTGCACATAGAACTAATAAAACGAAACAATTATATACACATTATCTTTAATCTCGAGATATGTCGGCTTTGTACGAAATCTTTACAATTAGAAACTGAAACAAAAGCTTTTAAGATTTAACGTAAAGTATGAAAAAATATGTGCAGGACAACAAGGAAACGAATATATTCAATATTGAATATATCCTATAAAACATTGCATTGTTTCAACCTAAGGAGATAAATTACAATTTATAATTTTTTAATCTTAAGATCCTCCGTAGCTTAATTGTCCGTATTCCAATTTATATACAACTTGTAAACAGGCATATATATCATAAAAATATAGTTAATTAAATAAATAATAAAATCGTAAATTGAATTTATTTTTACTCAATTCTGTTATTGTTCTTAAAGCGATAATACGCATTTGTAATGATGCAAAACGATCATAATAAAATATCGTTACCCAAGATATTGTATATTCAAGAATGAAGTAAAACAGGTTTACATTAATAGACATATGAAGCGAGTTTTGAACAAGAAGCATATAACTTTGGCAAAGACGATCACGAAAGCGAAAACCAATAGGAAGAAAAATTCCTCCGTAAGATAAAAGCATGTATTTCCGCAATTTAAATCGATATCTCGGGATCAATGATATCGAAAACACGGGCTATTATTATAAAGACGCGGTCGAAAATATTTGACCGACCATTTCGATGAATCTTGCTTTCAGTTTCGGATGCATTAAATATTTTCACATTTTATAATTACGAATTAAATATTTCTAATGTATGTAATTTTTGTTTACTTTATCTTTCTCAGTTTAATATACATATGTATATGTAAAATAATTATTGGTTGAATTGTTACCGTGCAAGATGCTTCATGGAGTTTTCCTAGTTTAGCTCGAATAAATGGCCTGAAAAAATAGTAAAAAATAGTAGAAATAAATAAATGCCTATTTACTGATAGAAAAACACTATTTATGGCTGAGTATGTCATTATATCTTTGAAGATAATAAAAATCCATAATCAGCTGACCTTATGTGTCGCCAAAGAAACATCTGAACCGGGATAGGCAAAGGATGTTCCTGGATGGTTCCATCCAAGGATCGTCGTTTATCCATATTTGCTCCAGTTGTCGCTAAAAAGATCACAAAAATAAGGAATTAATTTAAAAAATGCAAGACGCAGGACATGTTTCGATTAATAGTGCTGCCATCGCTGCCACGTGTCTTACCTCGTAAAACAGGATCCTGCCGCCTTTCACTGTCATACGCCTACGTCGTGCGCCTATCCTTAGCGAAGTCAACAGTATTTCATCAGTCAATGGATCAATTCCCGATCGGCGAATGTTGAAGGCGCAAAAAGTAAGGATAAGAACGATTTTTATCTTTACACGAAAAATTCAGATATTTTTGCCGAGTTGCCGGAAGAAAAACGCTTTTTTTTGCCGGCGCAAACCGTTGCGCGATATTATTCAACTACTCTAAACGTTCTCCGGATGCAGCCACCAAAGTATGCAAACCATGATATCGTCGCGCGAAGAGAGAGCATCACGTGTTCCACTCAACCTACTAACACACTTCTGTTATTTTCTGTATGTGGAGGTGTACGATGCACCCTGGAGCCGGGATAGCGTGTGACTGAGGAGAGAGAGACGCGTTCTACGCGCCCTCGTCCTACGCAGGCAGGATGGTGAATGCGCGTGCGACTCTCGGAAAATCTAATGCGCCGGTCGTTTCATCGATCAGCCCAGGAATCTGCTGCTGGACCACCCCTGCGGGAGGCGACCCACCCTGTCGCGGACGTGAGGCGCCGCGCCATCGTCCTTACCAACCTATTTACCCACCTAGCCATTTACTCGAGCGGCGCCTGATATTAACAATGGGCGAGGCCATCTTGGAGCAATGATAAGCGAAATACGCGTATTGATAGTCTTCCTCGTTTCGAAGCTAAAATGTGTATCGTTGGATTATGACAAATGTGATCGAGATATATAAATATTGACAATCTATTTTCTTTAGCGAGACTAATAACACATATTTCACGGCATAAATATTCTAGCTCCAGCCATTTAAAATACGAATAGCGTATACGACCGAGTAAGAAAAATAGAAATTGTAGAAGGAAAAATATTTATATATATAAAATCGATATGACACAAGAATGACATAATTATACGAGTCTAGGCTTAGAAATCGTTTTTCGTTCATCCTTTCAATCCGCTCGTACTTTTGTTAGCATCTTTATATATGTATGTCAAGATGATTTTCTGATCAGCTAAGCGTCATTTTTTGTTAAAAAAAAAGTCTCAACGTCCTTCAACGTCATATCCAACTCGAACACGATTTCCCAAGTACATTCCGTTACTTCGTCTGTCTTTAAAGTATCTCCAGAATTTATTGAAGGACTGATCTCTATACAAACTTCCATGTTATCATCCGTATCGTCGGCTATGCTTTTCGCTTCTTTGCTGATTGTTTTACATATATCACGCCATAATTTCTTTTGACCAGGATGAAGAATTTCAATAAACTTCTGAAAACTGTCCCAGTCCATATTTTCACTGTTCTCAAGAATTTTGCGATAAATTGTTAAAATATCGGTGTGCTCATCAACATTACCAACGATATCTTTTAACGATGTATTTTTGTAAATAATGTGCCACGTGACTTTTCTCGTAAAATTGTCTGAAAGTCTTGTTTTTTCCAGCTTGTCAGAAGAAATAGCCATATTTTCATAAGAAATCTTGACAGAATCTTTGAAGTTTGAATCTTGACTACACGTATTTACGAAGTTATCTTGTCTTTTAAATAAACAATTCTTATCTTGCGATAATTCAGATAATTTGGTTGAAATACAAACGTTTGCGAAATTATTTGTCATCTCGTTTGAATGAACGAAACTGGCATTCACGGATTTAGAATGCTGCAATTTTTCATTATTTGACGTGTCAGTTATTAAACATTTTTCATGATGAAATATTGAATCCTTACCGGATACTATTTTATGAATTAAATGACAAATCTTTTTCTGTATTTTCGGCGATAATCGAATAAAAATATCAGAATCGTGCACTCGTAGTTTGCGTATTGATTTTTTTGCATCCGAACGCCTATCGTTTGCAATTTGAGCTCTGACATGTCGAGCGATATCCAGAGAAGGCTTTGACGAAACTAATTTGCGGCCTCTGGAAATGTTCTCATCTGCATCATTTATTTTGTATTTTTTATTTAAAAACTCTATCCATTCGTGTATAAAATTCTCAGTAGATGACGAGCTAAAAGTTGTGGTACTTTCTCCTCTTTGTTTTAAAGTGCAATCTTCAAGAGAATCTTTTTCAATGTAATTACACCAATTATCCATGTTTTTTGCCGTTTCTTTCGTATTAGAACGTCGCGAACTATTTGTTGAAAAGTGAATGTTCTCTCTGTTACCGTCCATTCTTGGCATCAGTAAACAACGATATTCGTCCAAAACTATTTCGGGCAAATGTCCCGTTTTGTCGAATAACCAGAATCCAGAATTATATTGCGGATAATCGTCTCTACTGTTGTACAAAATGGTGCTTTGTTCCTTTCTTACGTCTTCGAAGCTAGTGCAACGTATTTCTTGTAATTTTGAAAAAAGTTCATCCTTTTGCTTGTCCAATATCGTAAATTGACCACGTGCCAAATATTTCACAGTATCGATAATCGGATAAATATCGCCGTGTTTCTCGAACAGTCGCTGCGAATCATGGATCTTTTGCGCAGTTTCAAAATGCATATCTCGCGCCAGCACATCGTCGATTTGCGATTTACATTCATATGAAATCTTCCTTACGATCTCTTCCTTATCAATATCAGCATAGACTTTCATCGCAGTCGAAGACTCACATTTATCCGGATTATTATTTCGCGCAATTCTATTGTAATCGTATTTCTTATTCCTTTTTGTTGTTTTAAAATCTGTAAACAATCTTTTAATGGCATTATTATTAAAATAAGATTTATGTTTAATGATATTCTTGACGTCGACTTCCGTATCGGAAATATTATTAACTTTATTCGGATTTCCAATACAGTTCTTTATTGCGAAAGCGCGCTTTTTAACTGGCAATGATTCAATTTTGTTCAATTCGTTTTTATATTTAGCACGACCGTCTACGTTAGAGCCATCGATAGATATTCTCGGTTGCGCATTATTCTTCAAATCTGGGAAATTTATTGAAATTTCTAATTTCTCCTTATTTTGGTCATTATTAATACAATCACGCTCGGTATTTGTAATCTCGGCATCTCTTGTCCTAGCTCTTGTGCCATTCCCTTTAATCTCTTCAGTAGCAGAATGCAATCCTGGGATATAACTTATTACTCCGCAATGTTCGCATCTGTATAATGAAGAATCGTTTAAGAGAAGATCCTCTAATCTTTTATCATCACGCTGGCTTAACAAACATTGCAATATTAGCGAAATCTCATTACAGCAGTTATTAGTCAACGAAGAAACTTTAGGATCAGAGTCTGTAATAAAGTCAAGAATCTTATAAACTGCTCCTAACTCGATAAATGGCGCGTTCGTCGCATTATTTATGTCAGGATGTATTTGAGAATATGTATTTTCTTTATTAATTTTCTTATTTATTTGATCATGCAATTTTTTCTCATTTTCGCATAATGCACAAATCAATCGTTTATCTGACTTAGGCGAAGGATGCGAAATATTATGATTCAATTTTTGATAGGTAGAAGATAATGATGTAATTTGAGATTTTTCAGCGTTTCTATACGCGTTCTCGTTTTCTTCTTTATTTTTATTGAACGATAGATCTTGTTTACTCTTCTGCTCACGTATAGTACTTAAAGTTCTTGTGGAAAATGTTATTGTGTCATTTGATAATGTAGCTTGAGATGGGATTATTGTTACTTTCCATGAATTATCATGATCCATGTTCGAGAAGATGCAATATTTGTTCGATGATTCTTTTGACGATGCATTCTTCTTTATGTTGATCTCTACAAAAAATTGAATTATTATTAAAATCTTTGAGATTATATTTATATATTTATTATTATTAAATATGTTATTATATAAAACTTTTTGATAAGTAACATAATTACCGATTACGTTTTATACTTATCTATCGGTTTCAAAATAGACTTCAAAAATTATCCATTATTATTGATAAATTATTATCAATTTATAAGATTCTTGTTGTGTTCAAAATTGAACAATTAATATTTAATTATGTTATGAAAAATATCCTTATCAAAATTATATATAATTATTACACATATGTTGGTTATAAATAAAGTTTGATAAAATCAACATGAAATTTGCCATTTGAATGTTTTGCTTGTAAATCTCGCACGATTTTGCGATTATTCGCGGAATCTGCATTGTGGTTTGAATATACATTCTTCATAGATTTTAATATGCAATTGTATATATACATATGTATATAATAATTAAAGATTAAAGTTTGATTCTAACAATTATTCATTATTTATAACGCATACAATAATGTATATAATAATATTTTATCTTATCTTATAGCATTAAATTAAATAATTATTTAAAACATAAAATTTAATTCGTTTAAAATATTTAAAAAATATTTTTATTATCATGATCTCGACGGAAGCTGCATATTAAATAATACGAATAATAATTGCATATGATTGATATATGTAGAGTCTACGCTTATGAAAATATAAAAAAATGACTATCTAGTGTCCCGTCAAAGACAACGCGTGGAAGAGGTTTCCTTTTGTGAGAATGCCTCAAATCATGGCAGAGACGTTCGCGAGAGGACTGCTAGACAAGATAATGGTAGACGTTCTGGACGTTATAGATCGCGACACAGAGGACGGTAAGATGTTCGGCAAGCGTATGTATGTTTCGTTGACGTAACGACGCATTCAATAGCGGCATTATTGTCATCTGTACGTCGATGTTGTACATCGTTACATAATACTGTTTTAGAGCAGCACGGTTTTCCGACATACATTTCGCACAAATAATTGCGCGAACAAATATATATAATAATTATTTGTAATAAAAAGACATAAATAATATATTTGACAAACTGTCATTAGGAAAATCCTGGGAGCAGCACGAGGAAACAGACGATGCCCAACCGGAATTTGTGCACATATCGCAAACACAAGAACATATACACGTGAATTACAGTAAGGCTGAAGAAATAGAATTGATCGCCAAGATAGTCCGCGACTTGCACGATATACCGATCGGAGACTCGCGTTACGTGCTACCGCCTTCATTGTTAGCATTAGAGAAACAGGTAATTAAATGTAGCTGCACATAAAGAAACCACACCCCTCCGAGACATTATTCAGTCATAATCAATCACAAGGGTTGTAATCATTTAATCTTTACTCAAGCTAATTGCATAAATATACAAAAATCATGACAAAATTATTTATGAGTTGAGTAATCCAAAGTAATAAAATTGCTTTCTATTTAAATTGCTTAAAGTTTCTCATTTATGTTGTATTAATTTTAGCTAAAAAAAATCTATAATTAAATCAAATTGGAGCAATTGTGAAAATCCGATTAAAGAAATATTTAAACTGCAGTGCAGTTTGCAAAAGGAAATTTGAAATACAATCAACCTTGTGCATTTATTTCATCAGAGGTTGCATTGAGTCAACCGAGTAGCATTTAAAAGACTGTCACGTGCAAAGAGGTCTTGCATGTGCAACCGGGGTTTGCTCTAGTGTCTGCTCCTGCGCTGCATTAATTCCACGCGTAATTATTCCCTGCGTGTGTCACGATAAGAAAGTTCACTCACGAAACACGCATCTGTTCTCGCTTGTATAGGTGAAATGCGCCGTTGACGGTGTGTCGCTCACGAAGGAGGCAACCGACGTCGCCGAAACTCGGCACACGACTCAGGGTCAAGGCGACACGCATCGGATTATACACGCGATCCTCGATCACCCACCGATTGACCCAGCCGAGTCGGCGAAACCGACCTGGAAAGAGAAGGAAGACAAAACGGTTAACGAAGCGACTAGCGTAACCATCGGTCTGTTGCACCAGCTAATCGAAGAGCTGGAGAACAAGGCAGTTTCAGTTTACTCCAAGACCGACGCTTCTTCGACCAGTAAAGAACGCATCGCCATTTGGGAGGAGAAGGAGGAACAGCTCGTTAGAACCATCGAGGGTAATGTTGCCAATGAGCAAGAAGTTACGATAGAGACTCTTCGAGGGAGCAAGTCGACTGGTCGTCCTCGCAACATCGAGCTTGATGAAGAATTGAGATCTCACTCGACTCAGTACGTGGCATCCAGCTCGAGAGAGGTTGGCCTCGAGGAAATTCAGATCGAGAAACGCGGATCCAATTCACTATCGTCATTGAAGCCATCGCGCGACGAGGAGCAGATTCTACCTATCGACGACGTGGAGAAACGAAAGACACTTGATGAATCGATGAAGAAGAAGAAGAGAAGCTTAGGCAGCAGATTGAGAAAATTCTTGCGTGCCGTTTTCAGTCGGCAGAAGAATTGATGCGGATGCTCGGGAGGAATGTTTGCTTCGCGATCTATGTTACATGACGACGATCCCCTCGTGGAACGGCTCTTTAAATGCGTGTTTCAGTAAGGGAATCATCTCGTTCATTCGCAAATCCAGCGAATAAAAATAACCGTATAGTCATCAGCTGGTTTCCGTAACTCCGGCATTCTTTACGACCTAGACGCGACACGTGAATTTAAAGATTCTGTACATTCCTAAATGTTAACCGCGCAAACATTATACGAACGCGCAAAATTCTGTAAAATATAATAAAAAAAAATAAAATATAAAATATATAATCTTGTATCGTGTATCACGTTCTTGCAATAGTTGAAGAGATTTAACGACAATAGTGCTGCCTAGAGCTTGATGCAACTTCGAAGGCCAAATGTATTTTCGCCTGACGCGTTCACCGGACTCTGCAGATCTGGCAACCCTGACATAAGAATGCTGTCGTCGACGTCGAAACCCCATTTATCGTAGCAGGAAAAGGTACCAGCTTCTCGAGGCTTCTCGAACTGTTTTTGGATCGCGGCGTTGCCATGCCCCGTGTCGATCCGGACCAAACTCCTCTCGAAGACCTGGACCTCAACATGATTCTAGTGTGTCCTCTGATCGTAGCGCCATCTGCAGAAATAAAATGAGTAAATTTGGTAAGACCTGGTTCCACTCCTGGTTCAAACTTCGTTCGATCAACATCCACTGGCCTCAGACAATCAACAATGGTAAGTCTCTATAAATTCGCAGCTTTCTTCTATTTTGAGATCGAGAATCACCCTGATACCTTCTTCGTGTTTCTACATTTTTTCGATAACTCCAACAACTCTTTCAATATCATCCATTTTAAATTATGAATAATGGATAAATTTAAAACTCTTTAATTTAATTTTAATAAACTATACAATCAGATCATTCTTATAAATTATTAAACTATAAAATGTCTCAATGTGTAATAAAAAAAATCTTTTATATTTCAGGCAGACCTCAGCGGCAAGGATGTTGAAAGTGAGTAATGCGATCTCCAAATAACTTCTTTTCTCTGACGCGCTTCATCGGAAATAATTAATGAAGATATATTTATACCGCAGTCGATGAGTGACTCCTACTATTATTTTATAACTTTTGTGTGTGATGCTATCAGAAGAAAGTGGCAAGAGTTTCAAACAGAAAATCTAAAATTCTATTGCTCCGACAGTAAAATTCGTGCTAAAACATATCACCTTTAACCGCTAATAAAATAATATAAAATCTTGTTAAAGTCATAATTTTTATAGTGCTTTATAAAATACGCATCAATAGTGTATATTATAAAATACATATTATATATGGTTTAATAGTGCACATTCTACAAAGAGGAGTTTATAGACAAAATTATTTTTAGTAACTGTTATTTAATTACTAAAATTATTTAACAAGATATTTAGGGGATAAGAAAATAATATTGGAGATTTTTGAAAATCTTTTTTTATGTTCTTTAGTAGAGTTTTAATATTTTATGAATTATTATTATCAATTTATACGACAGAGAATTATGCTCCTTCTGTTCCACGATAGAACTTGAAAATTGATTTTTTTCATTTAAAAACCTATTGTTTTTTTTATATTTATTTTTTCTATATTGACTGTAATAACTACTTCAATTAATCAAATTAATCATAAATGCGAGGATTTTCTTCGCTATATTCTATTTCCAACTCGGATGTCATTTTCATTACATAACGACTCGTCAAGTAGGAGGACGCAACCATTCCGTAGCGTGTCAAAAATAGGTTGGGAGACTGTTCTTATATGGTTCGGCGGGGGTAATTTGACCCACTGCTTCCACCAGCGAGTTCTTCAATCGTTGTTGGTGGGGGTTGCCGTCTCTGTCTCAAAATAGAATAATATTTTTGAACTAAGTACGCACACGCGGTGTGCACTCCATGTCTACGGTTGGTATTAACCCAGATTTCGCATATGAAATATTTGAAGAATGAACTAGATACTGAATGTAGCGAGGAGTATCACGCAAATATTCAATGCAATGATCCCATTGTCGTTAATGTCTCTGCTCATCAGCGAACGCGTTCCCGAAGATTTCCCCATGCTGCTATTTGAGAAGAATATGTACAAAATGAATCTCTTTGTCGAAAAGGGGCAGAATTCGCCTTCTCCATTTACGATACTGACGGCACCAACGTCATCGATGCAGTTAACCTTGGCGACGTCCTTCGCGCGTTGAACTTGAATCCCACGAATGCAACCATCGAGAAATTGGGCGGCACAAAGAAGAAGGGCGAGAAGAAATTGAAACTTGACGAATTCTTGCCTATCTTTAGCCAGTGCAAAAAAGACAAGGAACAGGGTTGTTACGAAGACTTCCTTGAATGTTTGAAGCTATACGACAAAGCGGAAAACGGAACAATGCTCGGCGCAGAATTATCTCACACACTTTTGTCGCTTGGTATGTAAGATTCACTCTTTCGTAAACATTTATTTAAAATAGGGAAATAAAATAGATTATAATTTGTGTTGTATTATGACAAGCACATTTTATTTTTACATATAAAATATAATTCCATGTAATAACAATTTTTAACACAGTCATATATTACACGTATAAATCTTAAGATAAAATAGTCTGTGCTTAATTCGATTATATGTTGAAAATAAAAAATGAGAAAGAAAGCAAGCTAATTCTATCTAAATAATCGTACATCGTAGGTGAGCGTCTCACTGATGTAGAATGCGATACTGTACTGAAGGATTGCATGGATCCAGAGGACGAAGACGGTTTCATCCCCTATGCTCGTGAGTATTGCAGTTTATTCTAAGTCGGAAATACAATCCCCAGAAACAAAGGAAAGTGTTAAATCACCTGAATCCGTAAGTTACGTTGAGATATAGAGCACGTTAGTTTGAAGAAAAGATGTTGAAACCCCTATCTACTTTGTAAGATCCCTAAATCCAGTTCGTTATTAGAATTAGAAACCCCCCGTGTAAATAAAAAAATATACAGTTGAAAGATCCCTTGATTCCGGTTCGTTATTAGAATTAGAAACCCTCCGTGTAAATAAAAAAAATACAGTTGAAAAATCCCTTGATTCATTATTAGAATTAGAAACACCCCGTGTAAATAAAAAGTATAGTAAATAACCCTTTGATTCATGATATGGGCCCCCCACAACTGATAACTTGCGGCAACGTGAAGAAGTCCCCCGGAGAATTCAACTTGGTCCCTCCCTATCATTTGACTCTTCCACATTTTTGTGTTTCGCAGCCTTCTTGAAGAAGATGATGGCGCCGTTGTAAACGATCAAGGTGTTTATCGAGACAAAAATGATCCATCGTGAGTATATCCTTTAGTAGTCCATGCTTATCAGTTACCTATATACTTGCTTTTTGTCCGTCCATTTCTCTCTGCGGCCTCTTTGTCTCTCTGTCCGTATCTATTAACATCGTTTCGCTCGCCTTTTCTCGTTGAGCACATTCCAGAATTTATAGGACGCAACGTTGCAGCTCAACAGGGATGCTGAAATCGATAACCCGCTTCTCGCGCCGAAGGCTTGCTCGCGCACGAAGTCGATGACCTGACGAGATCATTCGAGCAAAAATTACGTGGAATAAAATGATATTCTTTTACAAAATAAAGAAATAGAAAATAATATACATTAAATAAAATGTTAAATCTTTAATGTTAAATGCTCAAACAAGATGTTCAATTTTTTATTTCTTTGAATTTTGTTTTCTTAGTTATTTTACGAAATTTAATTATAGATATAAATTATATTTAATTATGCATAAATTATGATTTAATCTTTGATCTTTTTGCATCCTAAACATTCTATGCAAATTATTAATGCTTATTATATATCTACAGTCTATTGCTTCTACGTCTATCGCTTTGTTATTGAGAAGAATCAACTATGATATGTAATACAAACTAAACAATGACTGCCAACTAAATATAATGCATATTTACGCAAACTAATTTTCGATCTTTAAATGTATGTACGTTTATCGTCTCTATGAAAAATATGCTTAATTACGTGTCGATACATTTTCCCTGCATAAAGATGTGTTCTGACAGTTCTATTCTGTTTGCAGCGTTCCTTAAAAGACTATGTGAAAGGGCGGCAGCCGGTGCCGACGATTAGATAAAGGATGACTATCGTCATCGTTTATCCACATCAACGAAGGACACACTAATATTTACTCGTCGCATTCGCCACAGCACTCATCCCCCCGTTTGATCATACATCGCGCGATCACGTGAGGATCACACAATTTGACAATTTGCACGTAAACAGCAATACGAAATCAGCATCGTCGAAAGACAAGCATTTTATCAAAAGAAAAAATAACAAAGAAGGCAAATCCACGCAAACATTTCGAGTACAAAAAAGAAACAACATTTCACCTCGAACGCATGTAGCATTCGATTCGATTTCACACATTGTTGCGATACAAACGTTTATTTAAACTCACAGAAGGCAAAATATCTTAATATAGCAACATTGTGTACAAAGTCGAATAAAATGATCAATGTTAATTTATTTCTTATTGTTACTGTAATAAATCTTTCCTCCCAAATTGTCAAAGAGGATTAAAAATCGCCCATCATGCATTATTATTTTTAAAAATTTCCTATTTACAATATAGATTCTCTGAGATATTTTACATATAATATTCTCCTTTTTGAACATATAATATATTTATAAATTTCACAATTTAAATAATTTATACACGTATTGTAAAATCTAAGATATTTATTGTAAGATTGCAAAATGAAAGGCTCTCATTAACATAAAGAAATTTTTCAGTAGTATAGCTATTATGTATGACTATTTTCGTCTGACATTTTCTTGCTCTACTTAAGCAATCGCGTGAGAAACAGACAATAAAGTATGTCACTGTCGAAATCTATTTAAAAACCGAGAGATGGAATATTGAATTACGTTTTTTTTCTATGTTGCACACACGAAATATAATATATAATAATATAATCATCTTTCTTTCAGATTTTTCAATTATATCATACATACAATACTATTCGAATATTGATTGTACAAAATCTCTTTATCAAAATTATTCTCAGACAAATTTAAATATTTAGAAAATATCAACAAGTTTTTTTTAACTTTGGGAGATAAAATTGAAATTAATAAGAATAATTTCTACATGAAACTATAAATTTTATTGGGACAAAATTTGCATAAAGAATCTAAAATAATGAACAGAAATGTGATAAATTCTATATATAATGTTTACACTTTATGTAATACAATTTACGGATTACAAAGTTGAATTGGAAACAGTCTACACCAGCTGATTCATGCTTCGCACATCTCTTCATCTCGAACGAACGGCAGAGCCGAGTTCGATCGATAAATCGCGCACGCTGCCGCGAAGCGTGGATTTTAATCGCGCACGATCTTTTTCTCTCTCTCGTTGCCACTCTCGTCTCTCGACATCTTCGTCACCTACCTGATGATACAGAGCGTGTTTTCCGTGGGTGGATGGATACGACGCGGTTCGTACGCGCTCGGCAGACTTCGCTCACAGGGACAGAAGAGGCAGGCGTGGGGCCTCTGTACGATCCCGGCAAGCCGGTGGCGGTCGAATCAGTCGGTTCAAACGCGTCGTAAGCGCCGCGTGCGTTTCAAGCACCTCCCGGAGTGTGACACCATCGTTCGTTGTCGCGCACAACTCATTCCTCGCATATTTCTTTATCACGTATACGCGTGTACATCGGACGGCCTGGTTACGTCGTCGGCGCAACGCGCGCGCGCGCGAAGTGCGACAAAGTGCGACGAAAAAAAAAAAATAGAAGGAGACAAATCCCTCTCCGAGAAGTGTCAAATACTCTAACGCCCATCGTCTAGAGATCGTCGAGAGGATGACGGATGTCCAGGTGAATCCGAGTGGCAGGTTCCAACATAGCGACGCGCAGCAAACAGGTTGGTATCTCCCGGACTCTCACACAGTTTCTTCGTGTCATCTTCGTGTGGCGACGTTTATTTTCACGACCGACAACCTTGAGGTCACAGTGGTCCACGGATGCTGTTTATCGGAGCAGCGCGCGCGCGTACCGCCATTTTGACCCGCGGAGAGAAGGGATCTAATTTTGCAGAAAAGTTGCGATCATTGTCAGGACACTGCTGATTTTCTCACGCGATTATTTAAATGAGTTTGCGTGTCGACGAAACGAGACGTTCTTCTGATTTATTAACCGATCAATCCGGACGTTGTAGCAAAAAACGCGGGAGTACGTCTCTGATGTCAGGGACAATCAATGATTAATAGATGATTTGATGTCACCCTCTCTTTCGGAGCTTATATATGTATATCGAAACTGAAACATATATATAATTGGATGCTGTTTTATTAAATTTGGCAAAAAAAAACCATAGATTTATCATAGAAATAAAAACTCGTACTCTATCACTAGAATTCTTGTTTCCGTCAACTTTCTATAGAAACATCTGCGTGAATAGGAAAGACAGCTTTCCCTCAAACACACAATACCATCTCTTTACATTAAAAAAAATATTTTTTGGAATATAAATTAAATATTTTTTTAGAAATTTTTAGAATTTTTAAAAAATTAGTCGATACAGATAATAATTAATTTTCTGGTTATTTGCTGAAAACATTTTGCTTTGTTTTTGTTGACTTATATGTATATCAGTTGACGCAGACAATGATTGCGCAGACTATAATTGCTTCAGTTTTTGCATCGCAATACGCATACTATGCATATTAAATCATAAAAAACTGCGTTCATAAGATTACAACAATATAATCTTGTTTGTCACACAAACTTTTCGTTCAAGATGATATATATATTTCATCTCATGGCTTCTGATTTTTTATTAAACAAAAATTCGTGAAATGTATAAAATATTATTTACTTTATACGTATATTATATTTACATTTTTTATTATTTTTATATACTTTTTATTTATTATTATTACACATAATTTTTATTTTTACGTAAAAAATATACACGATATATTGCAATCATTAAATATGAAAAAACATATATGTATCACATTGCTTTTTACCAATGACGACAAACACTTTCATTCATCATTGACAAAACGAACGTGCAACATCTGGCGAAAATGACATGCATGGATGAATAAGATATTTGAAATGAGATATATTTTTGTGAAAAATAGAAGGCATACTAAATGCAAAATCGGTTATAAAAATAAAATCACATTTATCAATTTGTAAACAAAAATTCATAATAATATTATATATATATCGAGATTGCGCAGATTCTATATCATGCCAAGATAAAATACATTTTTATTGATAAAAGATACGATATATGTATGTAGGCGATGCACTTAACATTTTATTTCACATATATGCTATACAATATACTTATTACATAAAATATACAAACAACGGTATCTCGAGTACTTCTTCAATTGTATATTTACATCAAAATTGAATTTATGATATGACCGAGAAAGAGGAAACTATAATATTATGCTTGCAAAACGCATGTAAAATGTAAAATATTCCATGAAATATGTGCGCGCGCTTGTCGGCATTAATTATAAATTGAGAGATCCAAATATTGCACATGGGAACTAACAAGAAGTAGGTATCGTTACGAGGTTTGTGCATAGATTCATGAGAAAGACTGTACGATGGCCTCAACACGGCGGGGGCATTATACTCGGAATGATGAGAAAATCTGGAGCCGTATGAGATTGGAAAGCTTCCATTAAGTACGCTACTGTTAGTCTTTTAATCGTGCTCTCCGCTGTATATTTCATACACGATTAACGCCTTCTGTCGGTGGGATCAATCGCATATGCGATATGGAAATCGCATATGCGACCGCCAAAGAGAAAGTGCATATTCGGTTTCGTTTATTGCCGTCCGTGCATGTAGAAAAGTTTGACAGCAGCCTCGTCCGTATCTACTACCGTACCTGGCACCGGTGTACTCGACGAAACTTATTCTCTTCGCTGTTATCTAAAACGTCGCGGCTGATCTGACATTTATGCCAGTTTAGGTGCGATAGCGAAACGATCGTTAAAAGTGAAAGAAAATTATACTATACACAAAAATTTCACGTGCATCAAATTCGCGATATTTTAAAACGCTCCATATACACATTGAGTCGAGGAAGCAATTAGGTCTCGCGATTGTTTCCGTAATTTGCTAAATAAATCAGAACCGACCCAAATTAAATAGACCCTCAAGGTCTTGATGATGAGTAATGATCACGCTCTTTCCGTACGTCACCCGTGTATCTTTATTTGAGAAGGCCAATATTTCTTTCAACTCTCGTTTGACTTATCGCGACACAAACATTGTACAATAATACGGATAAAATAATGTAATATGAATTCAAAAAAACGTATAATTTCTTCGGCTCGAGAAGTGAGCATCTTCGGCGGCAAACGGAGCAGAAAAAACGGCGCACGAAAAAAAAACGTTCATCGATCAATTAGAAAATTAATGAGCGGCAATGAGTTAACGATGTCTCGTGGGTGTGTATAACTGCCGGAATTATCAAGACTCGCCTCCGATGTAACAATTACAATCGAGACTTTTAATTGGATGACCGTGTCGCGACATTCTCGAAAGCAACGATGCTTCGGTGAGGCAGGCATCCGCTATTTGTCCGCCACTTCCGGATACGGCCAGATTCAGAGGGGATTTCGCAGTTGTCCCAATTACAACGCAGATGTTGCCCAAGGGCGTTTTATTAAACCGGCACATTCCGAATTTTCTGAAATGGAGCATCCATATATTTTTGTGAAAAATATTAGATGTATGAAAATAAAAAATATATATGCATATCTTTTTTTTAATCAATTGAACTATACTTAAATTATTTTAATATTATAAAAATATATCTTACAGTTAGCCGACATTCGTAAAAAAATTAACTTAGAGAATTAAGTCGTAATGATATTATAAAGGAAATCTTAAACATAATCTTTATTACAATCTCAATTTGCGTGACAAGCGCTAATCTGTTGATGGTATCAGTACTCTGTGCATTGCTTGTTCGGTTTCTTCGTCATTAATCGTTACACTTGGGAATTAATGGGTCGTAACCAGGCGACGCGAGTGTGTGCGTGGAGTTAACGCGCGAGTACTTAGCGGAGTTACGTGAATACTTAACGTTACGCGAGACCAAGGTTCTACTCGTTACCCACGTCCCGCTTCGGGCCCTAACGTTCGTCATTACATACACGACATGTATTTATGAACACTCCAACACGTTTTACAATCTCTCTTTTGAAATAAAAACGTATAATTTTTATTTATTTAGCATAAATTTTTATTATTTAACTTATCATTATCATTACCCTGATGCAATTGAACCGTTTATTTCTCTCAGATGTCAAAGTACCGAAATGGAGTACCTGTTGCAAAAAAATGCGATGGAATTTGATGATTCAATATCGGTTAATTTCATGCAAGCTCCAATAACGCGCTATCTGCTGGGAGCACGATGGCACGCGATGACAATCAGCTGATTTTCGACGCACGCGTTTCAAACACGCTATTACAATTATCCTAGATAATTATTCTGTACGTAAAAAGTTGAGCAAACTCACATAGATTATGCCTCGCTC